CTAAGTATATCTTGGCAAATGTCAAAATTTGAAAAATACTATAATATAATAAAATAATAAATAAGAAATTGTCTGTATTTATTTGTGGCATTATAAATGTTATAATTTGGATATTTTGCCATAGTTTGAAGAAAAAAAAACTGGAAAAATAAACCCTTGTACCGATAGGGACAGTCAAGTGTCAATACTGAAAACTTTTGCCTAATAGTGAGATGCCAGAGACATACATCTACATGTATAAGTCTGGTTACGCACTGGAAAAACAAATACACATCACAATAACACTATGACGTTTCTGAAACCTCTAGTTTCGTTATCAAAGCAGAAGTGAATTAGAAAAGTACTGAATATTAGTTTTTCGCTACATTTTCTGTTTAACTAAATAATCTGTTCTCAAAAGTATTGACACTTGACTATTCCTATTTGTATAAGGGTTTACTTTGAAATTTTTTTAAATAATATATAGAGTATATAAGTTAGTTGTTTGCATACGATAGATGGCGCTGTAATCAGTTCACAAAGTATAAAGTGTTGCCTACTCATTAGGAGCTAAGTAGTAGTAAGCTTCCAAAACGTTACGAGGCGCTGTTTCGCGGTTTAGTGGCAATATTAGGGACATTTAATTCTACGTTAGTACTATATTTTCTATGCTGTAATTTAAGACAAAATCCCTGGATTAAATACATTTTAATATCAGGTACAAACCACTATAATTTCGAGACTTTCATTTCAGGGATTTTATATATTTGTTCATGAACCTAACGCCAAGGGACTTAGACAAAAACTAACTGTACCAGTCGAGGAAAAATTCGAGGAAAAAGAATATATTTAACTGAAAAACATATATATTTTACTTTTGCTCTGGACATTGTATGAAAATAAGTACCTAAGTATAATTTAGTTTAAACATATTCGGTTCTAATTTATTTAATTGTTTGTAAAACACGTATTTTATTTTTTGCGAAACGAAATCAATATTTTTAAATAAGTGTACCTATTCGTTGGCATAGTCGTAATCAGATAAGATAAATATACACTTTAGAAGGTCATTGATCGTTGACTTAATATTTATTTATTTATTTTGAACATTTGTATACCTCGAAAAATTCTTCAAAAATCTTGTTTCGGGCAGTGTTAAAATTGCAAGATCTTCACGATGTATACAAGGTGTCTCACGGTGACGGCCCATTAGAATTATTTCAGACTACTTCGATTTGAATTTTGAAAATTTGGGATACCGGGTTTTCGGGCATGCCCTTCTCAACTAAAATAATGGCGTCCACGTACCACTTCCGGTTATACCGGAAGTCGCCATCAACTTGCTTGCTATTTTAGGTGGACGTTTATGAAGTTTCCCTATTCCTAAAATTAACCGTTTTCGAGATATTTAATTTTTTTCAAAAAAATGGAGAGAAACAGTGACTAGCTTCAAATCATGTGTATTTTATAGTAAGAAAGATAAAGCAACAATATTTATAGGGGGAATAGCTAGACCCCTAAGCTTCCCATCCATACTTTCAAAGCGGCTTAATTGCATACAGGGTGCTAGAAATTTAATGCCGAGTTTAGTTGACTTCAAACCTTCATAAGTCGGTTTTTTTAAGTGGTACACCCTGTATGTTTTTCTATATTCTGATACACAATTTTATTCTCTTTCGAACGGTATCAGGGTTCCCTATACCTATCTCTTCTAGTTTTTAAGTTATTTACTATTTTTTGTGTAATCACCTAAAATCATGTAATTTATTCTTGCGAGGATAGCTGTGGAATTTTTAACAATACTTCAAAACAAACAACTAATCTGTCACCAGTTATTTATTATTATTTATTCACAGATGTTGCAATGGGATTCTAAGCAGAACATTTACAGTTTTTAATGAGGCATATCCCAATTTTCCACCAACGAGCAGAATAAAGTTAAGAAGAATTCTAAAAAATCAACTTCATACATAGTAATACACAATTTTAATTAAGTATGTTGATAATAATAATGCACTAAGATAAAAGAAATGACTTAAAAAAGTCATAAGTGTTCAATATGACCCCATTAACAGCTAAGCACTTGTGGATTCTAGAGATAACACCATCAGTTACCGCTTTTGCTATTTTAGCTGCAGGCAATTCATGGAACGCACTTCGTATTCGAGCAATCAAATCCTCTTTTGAAGCAACGGGTGTAGAATAAACTTTTTGCTTTATTACTCCTCAAACATAAAAATCTAATGGAGAGAGGTCGGGAGACCTTACTGTCCAATTCCACGATCCTAGGCGTCTCATCCATCTATCTTCAAACATTTCAGTCAGCTGTTGATCGATTTGATTGTGACAGTGGGGTGGAGCCCCGTCTAATTGATACCAACACTTCCTTAGTTGGTCTAAAGGTATATCATCTAGAAAATCTACCACAACCGTTTGCAAAATATTGAGATATCTGTCGGCATTTAAATTTTCTTCGTAGATATGGTAAGAAATTTGGTTATCTTTAATTAGACAAAAAACATTTACGCTAAATTTATTTTGAAAGTTTCTTTCCCGGATAACATGAGGATTTTCAGATGACCACAAATGAGTATTATGTCTATTAAAAATACCTTCTCTCGTAAATTTTGACTCGTCTGTCCATATAATATGTTGCAAAAATTGTGGATCTTCTTGGTATCGCACTAACATCGTTTCACAAAATTGTACACGTTGCACGGCGTCACCCGGATGAAGAGCAGAAAGTAGCTTAAATTTGTATGGATGCATATCATTAGTTCTTAGCATCCTGTGAATGGACGCTCGTGAAATGCCTAAATCATACTCTGCGGCACGAGTTGAGGATTCTGGATGAACATTAAAATAGGCTAGCACATTTATTACATTATCTTCATTTGAAGTTATTGGTTTTGGTAAAATTCTTTCTGCACAAATTCGACCATACTCTAGTTGATTTGCTAAAATTCTTCTTAACTTTTTTCTGCTCATTGGTGGCAAATTTGGATATGTCTCATTAAAAACTGTACATGTTCTGCTTATAATCCCATTGCAACGTACGTGAATGAATAATAAATTTAAAATATCAGCATTTGAATATGTATTGTTTTCCATTTCTTATAAACACTAAATTAAACTGTCACTGCAAGACACTAAGAACAAATTGACAGTTTATTTTTTTGTTTTGAAGTTTTGCTAAAAATTGCACAGCTATCCTTGTAAGAAATTACATGATTTTAGGTGATTACACAAAAAATAGTAGATATCTTAAAAACTAAAAGAGATAGGGAACCCTGATACCGTTCGAACGAGAATAAAATTGTGTATCAGGATATAGAAAAACATTCAGGGTGTTCCATTTAAAAAAACCGACTTATGAAGGTTTGAATTAACTAAACTCGGCATTAAATTTCTAGCACTCTGTATGCAATTAAGCCACTTTGAAAGTATGGATGGGAAGCTTAGGTTTGGAATGGGAAACTTTCTTACTATAAAATACACATGGTTTGAAGTTAGTCACTGTTTCTCTCCATTTTTTTGAAAAAAATGAAATATCTCGAAAACGGTTAATTTTAGAAATAGGGAAACTTCATAAAAGTCCACCTAAAATAACACTTAGAATTCAAAATTGCAATAATATATAGGGTGTTCCGTTTAAAATAAGCGAGCTGATGGCGACTTCCGGTATAACCGGAAGTGGTACGTGGACGCCATTATTTTAATTGAGAAGGACATGCCCGAAAATCCGGTATCCCAAGTTTTCAAAATTCAAATCGAAGTAGTCTCTGAAATAATTTTAATGGGCGTCAGTGCATGTGGGACACCCTGTATATTTTCAACACAGTCAATATAAGCCAAACCTTATCTGTATTTTGAACTTTGTAGGGTAAAAGCGTCTCCACTTTTATACACTCAGCAAAAGAATTAAGAAGGGAGCAGAAAAATCTCCAAATTTTTTTAGTGATTTTTGAAAGGCCGTGACTTTTGTGAATAATGGCAGATTTTAGAATGATAAACTACGATTTACGCCCGGCGGCCACTTGTGTGAGGTCGTAACGCCACTAAGCTACCGAATTTTACAAAGTATCATCACAAACGTTCATGCTGCCTTCATGACGAATCTAAATTGGTAGGCTACGTTTACTCCCGGGGAAGGAAACCGCACATGCTCTGTGGCTCAACGTCTAACAGCCTCTCAAAAATCACTAAAAAAATTTGGAAATTTTTCTGCTCCCTTATTTTTTTTGCTGTGTTTATATTTTCTCTTACTCTTATACTTTGTATTAATACTATTCTGTTGCGACGTATCTTGTGTGGACATGATAATATTTACATTAGCCGGTTCTGTTAAGAGCCGTATGTCCCCGAACTCCGACCGATGCTCCTCGGACGCAATATTGACGTATTTCTCTCGATTTGTTATTTTCACGGGCGGTGTTTTTCTTTTAAGTACACATTTACGAATGAACGCGGTAAGACAACACAGTGGGCCTAGTGTTAGTTGTATTTTAAACATTCTCTTTGAAAGAGACTGATGGTATCAAATATGTAAAAAATGTAAATAGCCAACTTTTTATTTTATTGTTTCATTTAACATTTAAAAAACAATAAATCACAGACCCACCAAACCCTATATCATTGTAATAGGTGAAAATCTGTCTTTCTAAATATGTTAAAATAAACAGGGCGGTATATTTAAAAAAAAACTGCCAACAAAACCGTATCTCTTAAAAAAAGTCGATGCGTTGGAAATTAAAGTAGGTACATCATCGAAAAGAATAAAAATACCACGAAAACTTTTGTTAAAGACACTTTTAATAAAACTTGTGGTTTACCCTGTACACAGTTGTTCCGACACATTTGCCCAACCCTGTATTTTCAAGCCATTATCTCTATTTTGTTCTAAATTTTTCGCCTATCCATTTTTCTACAATGGTAATCAAAGTAAGGAGCCAATATATTTGAAACGTATAGTAAGTGATAATAAATAATTTTGTTTCCAGGGTATTTGCCACAATTGAAAGATGGAAGCCACGTACAGAAAAAGTAAGGGCAATGCCGGACTGGACGGAGTAAAGTTCCAAGTCAGCCTGCTGGCTGTGGTTGTATTGAATGCTTATCGAAAACTCAAAGATTGTAAACTTTCCTCCGAGAATCAAGATGCTGCCAAGTTCGACGACCTCGTATTGGAGCTGCCTGACGGTAGCGCCGTCCTTCTTCAGGCCAAATTCAAAGCCAGCAAGAAGATCACCAAGCAACAACTACTCTCGACCAACTCCAAAACCTCAGACTTCAGTCTGGCCAAATACTTCTTCTCGTATCAGGAGATCAAGGCGAAATTCAACGTGAAAAGTATTATTGTCTGCACCAATGCAAGTGTCGATGGTAAGGGCTTAGAAGGCGCTTTAATCCGTCACCGCGTTGATCAAGACAACGCGTTGTACTACGATGAAGACAACTTTCCCTTTTTCACATTCAGCGAAAAAATGTTGCCTAATTTAAAAGCGAACGCTGAAATTTACTTTAAGGATAATTTACAAAACAAGGGAATCGACGAGGCGGTAATTACAGAAGAGAATATAAAGGAATTTTTGGGATACTTGCAATTTATTTTTAACTATCGGAGTGGAGAGCGTATGCCCAAGGTTATCGATCAATTGCTGTTACCGCTGAAAGATTCCAGTTTGGTGGGCAAAATATCTTCCCAAGACGTATACAACAAAGTGGAGGACTGGTTCAAACAACCAAAGGGAGAATACTTAACAGACATTCGCCTAAAAGCGATGTTCATTGAAATAAGGAGCGACAAGTACTGCTTATCCCTAAAAGACTACAACGTCTCGATGGAAAACAACAATTTGAACTTTACAGATTCAAAAAGAATATATCACGTGGTAGCCGAAGGGGGATATTTGCTGCAGTCACTAAAAATTTACCAGGCTTTGCAGAAGTGTAGCGGTAGAAAGCTCTATGTCACTCCAGACGATGACGCAGAAGTACTAGAAGAAGCAATAAACGCGTTTGATCTACGTCGCTACACCTATCTGATAGTTATTTGGGCAAACACCAACGACGAATCTATGACAAGTGATAAGCTAGGAGAGATATTGGAGAAATATCAGTACAAAAAAATTATTTTGGTTGCCGAGGCCGAAAACGAGCTTCCTAGGCTCATGGGACTAAAAAATAACGATTGCAGTGTTATTGATGGATTTGTGACACTAGAAGATCTAGCAAGAGATGCTAAGGAGAGAATATTACGAAGAAAAAATATAGTATTTCAAGGAAAGAGTGTTAGCTTAGAAGAACTATTGCCGCCGCAAACTATCGAAAATTATGGGAGTATTATACATTCAGAAATTCTGGAAACACTACTGAGAGAGGAAGAAATTAAAGTGGGGACCCCACCTGCAGATTTAGACAAACACACTCATCGATACTACGTAAGTCGCACTTTTGAAAGAACGGTTGACAAAACCGTGGACATAAAGTGGAATAAAGACGGAAAAATGAAAACAAGCATACCACAAGGAATTGAGAGAGGTGAGAAAACAGAAGAGACTATTCCAGAGAACAACATTTTTGATGTCGACGACAAACTCATACTCATAGCGGATATCGCGGGAATGGGAAAAAGCACTATTCTAACCAGATTGGCGATAACCATAAAAATAAACAACCCCTACCTATGGGTAATTAAAATCGAATTAAATGATTATACAAAAATTTTAAGAGACTTGATAAGGAACGGTAAAGAAATTGTAACTGTAACGGAGTTATTGAATTCCAGGGACGCGACGAAACTGACGAATCGTCTAGAAAAACATGTATTCACCGTGAGCCAGAAAGTCGTGTTGATGCTGGACGGGATCGACGAAATCAGTCCCGATTACACGCGGCTTATTCTGAATTTACTTCGACAGTGCCTGGAAGAATATAATTTTCTCAAAATCATAGTTACTACCAGATCGCACATGTCCAAAGATCTGGAGACGACCTTGAAAGTGAAGCCGTTCCTATTGCAGCCGTTCTCATACCAAAATCAGTTGGATTTCCTAACGAGTTATTGGGCCCATAATTTGAAACTAAAAGACGGTACGAGTAAAGCGAAATGTAAGCGATACGCAGAGGCACTCATAAGTAACATTTCATGGACGCACTTAGATGATAACAAAGACAATCACTTCGCCAGCGTGCCGCTGCACTTAAGAATGGCGGCTGAGATTTTCCAAGAGAACACCAAATTGAACGAGTCGACAGACTGGAGTGGGTGCAGAGAGTATATAAGGGGGGATGAAACGGAAGCGAAACTAACAAAAAGAATGAACGTGACAAGGCTATATGAGTTGTTCGTCGAAAAGAAGAGAGACATATTTATGGATAAAGGAAATCCAACTGGGAACACGGCGGCCAATCAAGCGCTCACGGAACAATTCCACCAGTGTCTTGTCTACCACCAAAGTCTGGCCTTGGAAGTGATCCTAGGCGAAGATAAATGTCGCTACTTCTCCAGCTACACACAAGGCGATAAAAGCGTGGAAACAAACGTGTTAAAGATAGGCGTGGTGCAAAAATTGGATGGCAAGTTTCACTTCGTCCACAGAACATTTGCTGATTACTTTGTAGCGGAGTGTTTGCTAGCAGAATTACAGCGAAACCAAACTTTAGAATTTCACACATTTCTTATAGACACAATACTACTTCAACCTCGATATAACACTACCCGTATTTTCTTTGATAACTTTCTGCAGAAGATTGTAGATACTCTGCCTTCTACTATTTTCGATAAATATAGATCCGTTAAACAAGAGAGCACCTGGGAATCCTATAAATTACAATCGGAATTAATACATCTCCTGGCGCGAGAAGGTTGCATGACAATCCTTCAGTTCCTTCTCAATTGTATAGGTTTCAAAACCATTACAGACAAAGTAATAAATGTCAGAGATTTTTACGAGAGTGATTTTGATGTTAAAGACAACACGTTGAATGTTTTACAGCATCTTACAAGGATAGCTGGGATTAATATCACAGACACGCAAGGTTGGACGCCACTTGTCTCGGCAACTCTAATGAGTCATTTCGAGACAGTCAAATTCCTTGTTGAACTTGGTGCAGATTGTAATATTAAAAATAACGATGGTTTTACGGCCCTACACGCTGCAGCTCAATCTGGTCGGTTGGACATAGTGAAGTTCCTGGTAGCGTATGGTGCAGATTGTAATATTAAATTGATGAGTGGTCTTACAGCTCTGCACGTCGCAGCTATACGTGGTCGGTTGGACATAGTGAAGTTCCTGTCAGAATATGGTTCAGTGTTCAATGTTAGAACATTTTCTGGCCACACTCCACTGCATATGGCGAGTGAACTTGGTCATTTGGAGAGAGTCAAATTCCTTCTTGAACTTGGTGCAGATTGTAATATTAAATTGGACACTGGTGATACAGCTCTGCGCGTCGCAGCTGTACATGGTCGGTTGGACATAGTAAAGTTCCTGGCAGAATATGGTTCAGAGTTCAATGTTACAACCTTTTATGGCCACACTCCACTGCATAGTGCGAGTGAACGTGGTCATTTGGAGACAGTTAAATTTCTTTTTGAACTTGGTGCAGATTGTAGTATTAAAAGAAGGAGTGATGGTCGGACAGCCCTGCACTCAGCAGCTGCATGTGGCCATTTGGACATAGTGAAGTTCCTGGTAGAGCATGGTTCAGAGTTCAATGCTATAAGCCTTGATGGCTTTACTCCACTATATTTAGCGAGTTACAATAATCAATTGGAGACAGTTAAATTCCTTGTTGAAATTGGTGCAGATTGTAATATTAAAGAAAACAGGCGTAGTTTTACGGCCCTGCTTACTGCCGCTGAACGTGGTTGGGCGGACATAGTGAAGTTTCTGATAGATTATGGTTTAGATTTCAATGTTACCGACTGTTTTGGCAACACTCCACTGCATTTTGCTGTCAACTATGGTCATTTGGAGACAGTCAAATTCCTTCTTGAAGTTGGTGCCGATTGTTATCTTAATAACAATAAAATCCTGCACAAAGCAGCTACACGTGTTTATTTGAATATGGTGAAAATTATGGTAGAGCATGGTTTAAATGTCAATTTGAAGGATAAGCGAGGCAAAACTCCATTACATTGCGCTAGTAACCGTGATAAATCGGAAATAGTCAAATTCCTTCTTGAAGCTGGTGCAGATTGTAATATTAAAGACGATGGCGGTTTTACGGCTCTGTACGGTGCAGTTTGCAGGGGCACGCTTGGCACAGTGGAGCTCCTCCTGAAGTTTGGTTCAGATATCAATAGTGCAAACAATGATGGCTGTACTATATTATATTCATTGATTTACCATAATAATTTGGAGCGAGTCAAATTACTTCTTGAACTTGGTGCAGATTGTAATATTAAAAGCAATAATGGTCGGACGGCTTTGCACGAAGCAGCTGAATATGGTCATTTGGATATATTGAAGTTCTTCATTGAACATGGTTTAAACATCAATGATACCGATAGTTTGGGATTCACTCCACTATATTCAGCTTGTGAACATGGTCATTTGGAGACAGTTAAATTCCTTCTTGAACGTGGTGCAGATTGTAATATTAAAAGCAATAATGGTCGGACGGCTTTGCACGAAGCAGCTGAATATGGTCATTTGGATATATTGAAGTTCTTCATTGAACATGGTTTAAACATCAATGATACCGATAGTTTGGGATTCACTCCACTATATTCAGCTTGTGAACATGGTCATTTGGAGACAGTTAAATTCCTTCTTGAACGTGGTGCAGATTGTAATATTAAAAGCAGCGATGGTCGGACAGCCCTGCACACAGCAGCTGCACGTGGTCATTTGGACACAGTGAAGTTCCTGATTGAACATGGTTCAGATTTCAATGCCACCGACAGTTTGGGATTCACTCCACTATATTCAGCTTGTGAACATGGTCATTTGAAGACAGTCGTATTCCTTCTTGAACTTGGTTAGACTAATGTTAAAAATATGAACGGTACACAGCAGCTCATATCGCAGTCGAATGCAGTGAAATTTATCATGGAATGTGGACTAGATTTCAGTGCGAATGCTGTGAATCACTTGGAAACACTTCCTTCTTGAACTTGGTGTAAACTGCAATATTTAACACGACAATGGTCGGACGACTTTGCATCCAGCAAAAAATGGTTCAGATTTCAATGTTGCTCATAGTCTAGGCTCCACTCCATATTACATTCGACGAGTGCTATATGTCACTTGGCACGGTTCTTCAAGGTGCTGTAGATGATAACATTAAGGAAAAGTTTTCTCATTAAAAAAAATTAGTTTTTCAGTTTTGCCAGAGATATATCTTATCTATACCACGAGGAACCGCCATTCGAATATCAATGCATTGTATTTGATTACATAAATGATGACTTCTGAACCGGTTGAGATAATTTTTTTGATACTATTGTAATGGTAAATTAGGATTTATTAAATTTTTAATTTTAATTTATAATTTTGTTTTAAGACAGTTCACTTGATAAAACGCGGAAAGAAACTATAAAAATTACTGTATAAAAAAACTTGCGAGTGTAATCGTGAACAAAGAACATTTTCATATACCTAATTCAACATTTATAATTTATAAATTAAACTTAAATATTCGGCTGTCATAGAAGCTTTCCTGTACCAAATTTTATTGAAATATCTTAAAAAGTGATAGAGTTATGTTTAAAGTGTACCTGAAAATTGAAATTAAGCCAGTAAAATTGTAAGTAGGTACTATAAGGAACAAACTTGATATAAAATAGTTTATATTATTTATCTAATAATAAATTCTTTATTTCTTGACACCTGTATAATGAAAATAAGTTTATTAACGTGTTTAAGTTTATTTTTGTAATATTTCCTTAATAAATGAATTGAAGTCCTGTTGCATTTTTGTTTCATAACAACCATAGACCATAGGTACAACTATAACAAATTTGAATAGCATAATTTTGTTAATTTTTTTTTTAAATTTTGACAAGCTTATATCTTTTCTAAACGGAATATCGTCAAAAACTAACGCAACAACGGAAATCTCAGATTAAATGAAAAGAATTCTACAATATTTCTTATATCCAGTACGACCTCGACAAACCTGCACTTCTCAGACCTTTCCGGATGACGTCACACTCTCCGCTTCGCCGACCAACCGTGACCAAAGGGGTCCTAAAAAACGGGTTGTACACATCACCATCACATATGTTAGCCTGAAGTGAGGTTATGTGGTTGTTTATTTTGATTTTGCATACGAAAATACGCATATTTGCCTCAACAACAACACCGTGTGCTGTAGCGGGATCCGTTTTCGAGATTTCCGTCATGTAGATTTGGATATTTCCCTCGTCCAATACGGTTCCGAGAGAAGGTAACTGTTGCTTCTGTCGCGGAAGAGTGGGAGCGGATTTTATCGATTTCTTTGACCTGTTGAATGCTTTTTACCGCTAATGAGCTCAGAATCTCTCCTGTCCCAGCACGAGGAACAATCTGTTGGGCTGCTAAGGTGAGTTTTTACGCATTTTTTTAACCGTTTGCTTTTAAAACTTCGCCCGGTAGTGAACAGTGAGTTTTTTTTCATAAGAAAACGTACTAGGAATTATATTTTTTACGCGAAGTGTTGCAGAAAGCAACGGAATATACGCAGTTATATAGCATTAGGGTCTAGGTGCTTATTACTTTTAGCGAGATGGAGGCAAGGGCGGAACACCAAAGGACGAAGCATTACCAGTCGCTGTACTCCTTCACCACCTCTGTAGGAGTGGGTTTAATAATTTTAGTGCTGTTCTGGATCTTGCACTTTCGGGGCGGTTTCGCATGGCAGTCTAACCCCAAGCAAGAGTTTTACTGGCACCCTTTCTTAATGGTACTGGGAATGGTTTTTCTTTATTCGCAATGTAAGTATTTACACATACAAAAATTATTTTACGGTCTATATGTTCAGGCAAGTGCGGTTGTAACGTGTTTTGTTACCGAGAACTGTTGGTTATAACAAACAAATTTGTAAGTGCCATAAAAATCGGTGGTGAAAATACACTTTTACGATTAATTCATCTATTACGAATCTTCGCATGTAAAAAAAACAATTACTTATCAAATTTGTAGAAATATTCAGCTATGATGGACTTTGGCACTGCACAACTTTGCGTAGTGGATAAAAGTGTAGATTATATGTTAATTCGGTTATAAAGTACGTGACGTACTACGCTTAAAAGTGTTCTGAACAACATAGTTAGACTAGAAAGACAGCAATTATTTTACATATTTACCGATTTTCGATACCTAGTGTAGTTGTATTAATTTTTTTTACCCCATCTATTAAAACTGCCAATTTTGAGCTTCAGTCCAAGAGACTCAATTTACTTTTATGAAGGTAATAGTTACTTTGTGGCATAGTTTCCTTCTTTTTTTATTTGTTAGGTATTTTGCCTCCCGTGAACAAAATTTAAAAAGTTAATGCAACAAGCCCTTGCGCCAAAAGCGGTTAGGGGTTATTTGTTATGAAGATGCTTAAGCAAAAACCTTACAGTGAAAAAAGTTCAAAAAGTTCTTTAGTATTTGTTGCCAACGATGATCCAACGCCACAATTTGAAACACATCTTGAACCGTTCAACAGAATAGTCGCAGTCTCTTAATTTTTTTCAGCGGTGTTATTTCTCTTAGAGCGTTTATTTTGTTAATACCAGTCACTTGATTGGTAGAATTTCCATTAACGTATCTAATGAAAGATCAACAATTTTTAGTAAACTTGGAACGCGAAGCAGAGTGTTTTTGATTTAATGTAATATGACTTACGTCTAAAATGATGAATGTTCTCTTGGTATGTGTCTTGCTACTAGGAATTCGAGTGACAACCGCATAACATTTGCCTTGTATATCTTGTAGTACTAAAATGTGACGGAATTTTTTAATCCGTTGGAGGACTTAAAAGATACTTTATTTTATGGGGAATTTAATTCTACAACTTTTCTTACTCTTGGTAGTTTTCAAAAAACTTTGTTGTTTTCAACAAAAAGACGACTAACTAATAATACATATTGTAGCTGTTATTTAAAATCATCGAACATTTAAAAGTTGCTATGAATTTAAACGTCAAATTTGACGATCAGGAAAAAACTTGGAATAAGAATAATTTAATAGAAAAACAAACAACAGAAATAACATATAATTTGCACTGAAAAGTTATAGAAATTGTTCCAAATGATTCCTGTTTTCTCGCAGGCGTAAATTTATTCTTCGTCGAAAATTGACTACTACTGTATTGTCTCTAATGAATGACGTGTATTTATCCGTAATTCTGCTCGAGACGCAACTGTTGAGGCATACACAAATTCTTTTAACCTTCCCCAAAGAAAGAAGTCACATTTGTTGAGGTTTGGTGATCGTGTAGGCGAAGCTTGTGGGCAATTATTTCCTCTTCTAATCCATTTATTTGGATGCTGGTGGTTTAAAAAGTCTCTAACAATATTAGTAAAATGAGAGGGTGCTTCATCATGCATAAGCCAATGTTCCAGTCTGGAACATTGGTTTATTATAGGATTTTAAAAGGAAGTATGACGTTCAAGATATTTTATTACATGAATCGTTCAAACGGTCATTTTAGATGAAAAATCCGCGGAGTGCTATTAAATTAGATGGTGGAAATTGGAGATAGGGGTGAAAATGCACCTCTTTCAGTTTTTTAATTGTAGCTCGAAAACGAAGCAAAATTTCCCTATAGTTCATATGAAAAATTATTTAGAGAATTGCATTTCCCATGGAAATGGCTTATTTAAAAAATTTAAAAGGTTATGCAAAAAATCGTTAATAAACAATTTTAAACAAAGCAAAAAATAAGAGATGATTTTTTTACTTTTTTAATAAAATAATTTAGTAAAAACTTGAGAATTTAAGTACAATAAAGTTTATTAATAATGTATATACAGTGTGTCCACAAATGGAGTTGACAAGAGGAGAAAATCTTTTGTTTTTGACTTTATCAATAATGTCACTCTTTATAAAAAGTTCTGCCCCTCCAAAAAATGAGACTGTTATACAAACATCTTAGATTAGATATACAGGATGCTCATAAATTAAAAAAACACGAAATTACTCAAGCAAAAAATTCAATTTTATTATTTTTTTTTCACTTCTTGCCTCTAGTTTTTTTTTGAGTAACGATAGGTATAGGCATTGCTTCATAAAAAAAAGTAGATAAAATTTCCTTCAAAAAAAGAGGTTGTACAGTATTTTTGGATGAGAATTGACTGATATATGGCCGCTCAAACTTAGCCAATTTTTCGAGTTTCGTCGCGTTTAGCCTTATACGTTTTAATTCTCATTTTTTGCAAAAAAAAAGAAAGGACTCGTTTAAGGATTTTGATCCCGTCTTGTTCGAAGGGTCATTAAAAATGAAAAAACCACGAGGTGCTGTTAAATTAGAGGGTTCAGATTGAAGATAGGGGTGAAAATGCAGTTTTTTAATTATAGCACGAAAACGAAGCAAAATTTCGGTATGGTTCATAGGAAAAATTTTGTAGAGAATTGAATTTCCCATCGAAATGGCTTATTTAAAAAATTTAAAAGAAAAATTTTATGCAACAAATCGTTAATAAACAATTTTAAAAAAAGCAAAAAATAAGATTTTTAAATTTTTTTTTACTTTTTTTACTCTAATATATGTTAAAAACAACGAAAATCTAAAAAATATTTAAGTTTGACTGGTTATAAATAACTCCATCAATATTAGTCCAAAAACTTTTGAAAACGCATCATTTTGAAGGGAATCTCATCTAGTTTTTTTGTAAAGCAATTTTCTTTGCCTACTTCTAAAAAAAAGAAATTTGAGTCAAAAAAGTAAAAAAAATATAAAAAATCTAACTCCTTTTTTTGAGTGTTTATTAACGATTTATTGCTTAAAATTTTCTTTTTACATTTTTTAAATAAGCCTTTTGATGGAAAATTCAGTTCTCTACAAAATTTTTCCTATGAACTATACCGAAATTTTGCTTCGTTTTCGTGGTATATTTAAAAAACTGCAAAAGTGTATTTTCATCTAAAATGGCCATTTTAATTATTCATGCAATAAAATTCCTTTTAACCCTGCTAAGACTTCTTTGGATGCCACCAGACCGATTTACTTTTCAACTGAGACATTAGTTTTGAGAAGCGTTTGGTTTAAATTTCCTTCTTTAACATATTTTTTGCATTATATTTATTTTATTGTCCATATTTATTTACTTTTACCTCTCTCTGAACCCTCAAAGTTATAGTGAACTTCGGTCGAAACGAACGTAATTGTCAGATCCCTCCCGGTTTGCTGTAACCAAGGCTGACTGTATGTTTCGAATTTTCCTCTGCTTTGCCTTTTTAAAACGGCGTTCAATTGTTTAGAACTAAACTTACCTCTATACAGATTTGCTTCGTCTAGTCGTTAGAGGACGGCAAAGTTGTCAAAATTTTATACACATTATTTTTAAAATGGTTCCAAAACATTTTGTCTGATTTAAGTGAAATGTGGTAAGTTGGTGCTTGTGTATAGATGTCACTTTTTAAATCTGTAACCAAAGTAACCGCATATACAAAACTGGGGAAAATGCCTCCACTCTTAAACAAACATGTTCATGTGTGTTTTCTTGCAAGTGAACTTTTAACTTCAGTTCTTGCTTTAACATACAAGTGACAGTTGTTTTGGTAAACACAATACAAACCAGACTTGCCATAAAACATTGATTTATTTGATAATAACGAGGAGATAATGCTTTGTGCAGTTGAAAAACTTATTAACGAATGTTTCTTATTAAAAAGTGTTGACTATTGTTGTATACATGTGGATGGAAAGACTGCGACCACTTCAGGTTGTTGACTAAATGTATTTTTAAAATGTTGCTCTTTAGAAAAGATGAAAGCAACTAATATTTTTGCTTGTAAATTAACTCTAACGTGACGTTTGCAGCCATTCTGGTGTACAGGACCTTCCGCCATGTCCCGAAAATGAGGCTGAAGATCCTCCACGCGAGCCTCCATTGCCTGGCCTTCATCCTGTCCGTGGTGGGGCTGAAAGCCGTCTTCGATTCCCACAATTTGTTGGACAAGCCGATGCCTAACCTCTACACTTTGCATTCCTGGATCGGCTTGATAACGGTCATCATTTTCGCTGCCCAGGTAAGTCGATTATTCGTGGGTTGTTCAGCAGTCGAGCAATTTGCCCAAACTCGTTTTTTTGCGCGCGCTTATTTACGGAAATGCATGTTAAAAAAGTTGGCGGCCGGCGTAGCGTAACGGGTATTTCGTGTGATTTAATTTTAAGTGAAAGCTTTCGTTTGTTAATGATAAATTCTTCACGGTTGAGGTAGAAGGTTTGGCTGGCGTTTATAGAACAATATTAACGCGATAGTAATCCATGTAACTTATTAAGAAAAATAAGGTAAAAGGATCTGTCGTGCGGAAAACTGCAAAAAATTAAATTTGTCCCGGAATAGTTATTTTGAATATAAAAATTTCATTTACATTTTTTTGTTCTCTTAGAAAACTCTTTCTACGTAACCCCTGAAAGATACTGAAGAATATCCCTCTCTAGTTTAAAATTTTGCGTTTTTGCAGAAATAATCTAAGCTTTTCATGCACTGATATATAATTGAAAAAAAAAAAAGAATAATACTTGAAGGTCACTTGTTTTTTTTTATTTAACAAAGTTGATGCCCTCATCTATAAATTGCGATGCCTTGTAGATTTTTCACAATTTTCTTTATATGTTTTCCAGTGTGTGTTTTTCTTATTCCTAGCGTTTATTTTTTTCTGCCATCTTCGTCACTCTATGGTGACCTTCATTTTCAGTTCTTGTTCGGATTCGTGAGCTTCCTCTACCCGGGACTGTCGAAGACGGTGCGTCANCTTGAACTTTTTGAAAATGTGATATGTTAACTCCTTTGCGGGAAAAATGCGGGAGATATGGAGGGTGGTAGATTTGAATAAACGCTTTAAATTGTTAATGGTTTTGTAACCGTGTGTAGTGTATTTTGTATATTCGGGTATTTAGTGTGCACACTGACTTTTTTTATTTGATAAAATACAGTGTGCCTACAAACCTCTGTTTTATTTATTTTCTTTTAACGAAAGTTGACTTCAAGAAGTCAGGCTTGTTAAAACATTTTACACTAAGTTAATACAATTATTAAAATTAGCTATAATAAAATGCAACATGATCCTTTATTTACTTGCATTTTATTGGTTTCGTACATATGTATCCACATACTAAAGCGGATTAATTAAATGTGAACCTAGATTATGATGTGAACTTGGCAACGCTGTTCGCTTCAGCTGACGATTTGTTCGTGACATTACGTTACAAAATTTTCCGAGCATCCGGGCATCTAGTAGGGCCACCTTCTTAGCGGGAGTTATGGGTTGATTTCTTTCATTTTTAAAAGTCGAGTAAAACATTTTTTTTCTGATTTTCTGTCTTTATTAGGTCTTCCGAATACGTGATTAAAATTAATGACATTATGACTGAATCGCCCTGTATAATTGGAAAAAAAAAGAATAATACTTGAAGTTCACTTGTTTTTTTTTTATTTAACAAAGTTGATGCCCTCATCTATAAATTGCGATGCCTTGTAGATTTTTCACAATTTTCTTTATATGTTTTCCAGTGTGTGTTTTTCTTATTCCTAGCGTTTATTTTTTTCTGCCATCTTCGTCACTCTATGGTGACCTTCATTTTCAGTTCTTGTTCGGATTCGTGAGCTTCCTCTACCCGGGACTGTCGAAGACGGTGCGTCAGGCTTTCCTGCCCGTCCACACCGCCGTCGGCACGGGAGGTTTCGTGCTGGCCATCGCAACCACCGTGACTGGCATAACCGAGAAGGTCATTTGGACACTGTAAGTACACACATCTATACTCCAGATCCAAAATAGTAGACAGGAAGCCATGAATAAATCAAAACGCGACATTTACCACACTTTAATCCTATAAAATGAAAATTGTAATGTGCCGTGCATTTCGCATAGTGTTCCGATGATATCTTCAGCGCTGCCTACTACTTTGGCATTGGACTAATTATTGTATATTTTGAACTTTCTCTCTCGCAGGAGCGACGACTACTCAAAGTTCATTTCTGAGGGCGTCGTCTTCAACTTCATCGGCGTGTTCGCCGCCCTGTACGGCGTCTTGGTCCTTTACATGGTCAACGAGCTAGATTACAAACGGGTGGCTTTGCCCGAGGACGAAATGGCCCTCGCCAGTTCCGATTAAATCGGAAATATTTAATCTCTATTAAAAACCTCGATGTCTAAACTATATCAAATGTGGTGCTTTAAATGTAGAGTGTGCCGTGTATCGTAAACTTCGTCGGTAAAACGGTTTATTTGCATCGTAATTGAAATGCAGCGGCCGCCAGGCGGTCCAGATCTCGCACCTATCAGTTATTTTTGTAATATCGCGTCGGTGTCCTTTTTTTCACTACCTGGGAAGTTTACGGTACACTTCTGGCACAAGTATTTCTCAAACGGTGCTTCGTACATCAAACCCAAAGTCAAACGGTGCTTATTCCGGCAAATGTTGCTTAAAAACTAGTTTTTTTTTTCTCTCGAAGATTGTGTGATATGATTTGGACTTAAATATATTTTTTAACTATTTACAAATATTTCGTCAGAGCTGTGTGGTGTCTATATTTTAGTGGTAGGCTCTTACACGTCTTGCCTATGGTGATGTGTTATTATTGTTAATAGTATTATTGTGTGGAATAAAATATTGTGGAATATTCGTGGTGGTTGTTCTCCTAGATCCTCCTTTGATGATTTTGAGACAGCAATATTTAACACTTGATACCAATGTCTCATTTTGTGTAATAATAATACCCAGTACGGTAGCTGTAACAGTAGATTTCTTGATTACATTTGTCTTTCTATACAGGCACGTTAGACTAGGCGGTGTCTGTGTTGGTTTGGGTGAATCGTATATCCACGGAGATTTTTGGCTTTCAAATTTCACTAGAAATGAAATTTTTTCTATGCGCATAAAAAAAACGTGGGCTTAACTTTTGGCGGCACAATATGTTAAAAAAATTCGAAAAATGTCGTATTTTTCTTCCTATTTAATCGTTTCAAGAGTTGATTTTAGGCGAAAATGGAAAAGGAAAAAAATATCTGTAATTAAATTTTTTACAAAACATGACTCGTTACAAATCGAACGAATCACAATTATTATGGTAAAAATCGAAAAAATCACAAAAATGGGGTTAAAAAACCATACTTTTTAGGGAATTTTTTTTGGGTATTTAAATTGGGTATAGGACCTTTATACTTGGCTCAAGAAAACTTCATGTTATGTAGAATCACCACACCAAATTTTATCAATTTCATAATAATTTTGCAATCCAGATTTTAAAAAAAAATTTGCAAATGTTCAAAATTTTGCACAGCAAAAACCAAGGCCCTTAGATATTCGAAAATTTAATCAAATATAGAAAGGCTCTCAAGCTTTCAAACGCTTTTTGAAAAATTCGAATCCGTCAATTAGGAGAGCTCTGGCGCTTGTTTAACGAATTTTTGTACTTATAAACAATTAGAATAACTTTGTGAATATTCAGTCAAACCAAATTGTTTAAAGCAGGTTTTAAAAGTTCTTGGAAAAGACGCTTCTTTAAAAAAAATACAGATCGATTGGTCAATTAGTTACGCATTTTATTGAAAATAGCTGATACCAGCTTCGAATAATTGAGGTTATTTACTGTATTTCTGTAGGCGCTGACATGAAATCGCAAAATTAGGCCGTTGGGTGACAAGGCCCCACGTTGGGCGCCATATCGTGGAACTAAAAGATTGAGTCTCGGAAACTGGTTACTGAACTGGGTGGACGTTCGATCACAAGCAGGGGAGACCCCGCTGGTGACTCTACTGCGCGATCCGATTGAGATGGCACTATTTGTCGTTTCAATCTCTGGATCCGTTCTGGCTTCTAGGTAATGGCTATTATCGTCCTACTTTATGTTTTTATAAGTTTTTCATGAATTTATTGTCATCCTAGAACTAGCCATAATATAGAACGTCTTGTATTACTTTATTAGCGTTTTGTCGGTGAAATATCCCAACACCCTGTACATTTCTAAAGATTACCTACTTCAAGGTATAATAAACACTGAAAAGAATTCCGCTTTATCTAAACGAAGCCATCCTATTTCTAAACAAGAAATAATCGGCGGTCACCGCCGACTTGACCTCTTTTATCAGTTGACATTGGACCAAGTCGTCTCGGAATGTGACAAGAAATAGATAAGAAAATCAAATCACGACGGCCAGTGGTTGTCGAAAAGGTGCGACGATGTTTTCGTTGAGGGCTGTGAGTAAGCCGAGTGTCGGAGCCCTGAAAAGGGCATTCTCGTCCGATGTTAAGGCCGAGGCGACGGCTCTGTTCGACTTTCACGTCGAGAGGGGCGGGAAAATCGTGAATTTCGGCGGGTTCCTGCTACCAGTGCAGTACAGTGACCTGAGCATCGTTAATTCTCATCTCTTCACTAGAAAAAGCGCGTCTCTGTTCGATGTGTCCCACATGTTGCAGACGGAGATTTACGGTAAGTTGGCTGTGGTCGAAAAATGAACAACGTTTGTGTGACATAACCTAAAAAGGTGTAATTTTGAGAAAATGAAAAAAACTGCTAACAGAGAGAAAAAATACGGAAATCTCTATGTTAAGAATTGTAACGATCGATGAATTGAGTAAATAAGTTTTTTAACCACTGGAATCGAGGAAATTTCGAAGATCAAGGTTCTATAAATACGTTAAATACAGAAACCGCTTACCCTTTGACCGAAATCTGACTAAATCTGGCTTGAGTCGGCTATTTAACAGATATTTAACTAACATTTATTTAGAAATTTACTTTCCCCTTCCCCTGATAAGTAATGGCGAAATCATACTTGGAAACCATAACTTTTCTGTTGTCGAGAAAATGTGAATCGAAACAAATATCTAAAGATATAGGCATCATCAGAAGCTTTAGTTTGAACTTAGATCAGGTAAGTTCATCTTTTGAGTCATTAAGAGACAGAATTTACTTTAAAATTTCAAAATTTTCGCTTCTCTATCAAAAGGTCTACGGACTTCAGTACATTTGGTTGGCACTCCCGCCTATCAGCTCTTTTAATTTAGGATTTCTTTTCTTTAATTTTTGTTGTTGACAACCACCAAGTTACTGTAGTCGATAGATGGCGCTGCTGAAAACTTACTGCAACCAACAGATGGCAGAAGTAACCATCACGCAGCTATAGTCACGTACATAGAACTACATCTGTAGTAAATAGATGGCAGTGCTTATTTGTTAAATGAAAATGAATGACACTTGATTAATTTCGTTAAGAGTAATTTATGCATACGTAAATACATAATAATTAAATATTTTTAGTCAACCATCATATCAATTATTATGTTTATGAGAAACGTGTAAATTTAAAATTAATATTTCCCTTTTTCTAGTTTTTTTACGTCTCGATATTAGGCTATAGGTTTCAATTGTTTCGCTTTCTAGAGGATGATAATAATACTAATTGGTGGTTCAGTACTTAACCTTAAGATGTCGCTTTAAAAGATCACATCTAGCGATTTCTACAAGATAATTGAGAACCGCGGCATTATTCCATGGCTAGAAATTGGCCTCAATGATTTGGGATCGAGGGGGATTATCCCTCTTTATCCTGCCTCATCTCGTGTAGGCCTGGACAGCCTTCGTAGGTGGGCCCNTTAGAAATTTAATTTCCCCTTCCCCTGATAAGTAATGGCGAAATCATACTTGGAAACCATAACTTTTCTGTTGTCGAGAAAATGTGAATCCAAACAAATATCCAAAGATATAGGCATCATCAGAAGCTTTAGTTTGAACTTAGATCAGGTAAGTTCATCTTTTGAGTCATTAAGAGACAGAATTTACTTAAAAATTTCAAAATTTTTGCTTCTCTATCAAAAGGTTTACGGCCTTCAGTACATTTGGTTGGCACTCTCGCCTATCAGCTCTTTTAATTTAGGATTTCTTTTCTTTAAATTTTGTTGTTGACCACCACCAAGTTACTGTAGTCGATAGATGGCGCTGCTGAAAACTTACTGCAACCAACAGATGGAAGTAGTAACCATCACGCAGCTATAGTCATATATATATGTATATGAGGCTATATATATGTTTATGAGGAAAGCGTAAATTTAAAATTAATATCTCCCTTTTTCTAGTTATTTTACGTCTCAATATTAGGCTATAGATAATTAACTAACTAAATAATTAACTAACAAGATAATTGATAACCGTCAATATCGACGTTTTCGATTGAAAGAATCATCTTTGACGTTTTGTAAGTTAAAAACAAAAGACAACAGGCCCATGATAGGTATAAAAAGACATATTTTTTGAGATTTTATCAGCCTCTGGATTATGGATCGGAACTGAATAGAAATAATAAAAAGGAAACAAACACACAAATCAATTTTGTCATAAAGAAATATTAAATGTCCTTCCACTCCTTGTAGGCAAAGACTGTGTAGCATATCTAGAGTCTGTCTGTACTGCGGATATCCAAGGTTTGCAGGATAACGGCGCTGTGCTGACGGTATTCACCAACCAACAAGGTGGAATCTTAGACGACCTTATCATCACCAAAATAGCCGAAGACCACCTCTATGTGGTGTCTAACGCAGCGCGCAAACACCACGACCAGCAGCATTTGCTGAAGGCTTTGGTAAGTTCTTTTTGTAAAGGAAACCCAGAAATTTGCGACTCCCCTACCGTTCCTATATATTTTAGGACAGCCACAGGAAGCGCAACCCTTCCACCGACATCAAACTACGGTACTACGAGCCCTTGGAGAGGGGTCTACTGGCTTTGCAAGGTCCCAGGGCCGCCGAAGCCTTACAGAACCTCACGGACGTAGATTTATCCCAGTTGTATTTCATGAACTCGACAACTGGCAACGTTGCTGGCGTAGAAAATTGCCGAATCACGAGGTAAGTGATAGATCTACAGTTATTAACCAATCGGCTGTCGGACCAACCGAGGACAGGCAGCCGATTGGCAGAAACGACACTAGAACACTACTGGAAGGTGACCTTGACCAATTTTTTTGTTGCAGGTGTGGCTACACTGGCGAAGACGGGTTCGAGATCGAGGTGCCAGCGTCTAGTGCCGTGAAGTTAGCTGCAGAGCTGTTGACCAATGAAAACGTTAAACTAGCCGGGCTAGGAGCTAGAGATTCCTTAAGGTAAAAGTAGCTGTATAGTTGAAACAGTAAACAGTAGAAATGCATCGGAACATTTGAAACAAATGTACAGGGTGCTAATGATAAGTTTTGCTAAACTTTAATGGTGTACACTTGATTATTTCCGTCGGTAGAATACGCCATTAAAGTTTGGCAAAACTTATCGTTAACACCCTGCACATAGATTTTTTTTCTTAGGTTAGAAGCAGGTCTTTGCCTCTATGGCAACGACATCACCAGCGAAACCACCCCCGTCGAGGCAGCCCTAACGTGGTTGGTCGCGAAAAGGAGACGCGAGCTAAAGGATTTCCCAGGGGCGGAGGCCATACTGAGGCAGATAAGGGAAGGATCTTCGATTAAAAGAGTAGGTCAGTAATGGAAACGGCCACTAGATTCATCCCCAGGTAAAATTACCGTTAAAATAAATTCATTTCCTCAGGGTTGGTATCAAAAACAGGCCCGCCGGCAAGGCAGGGAGCCTCCATCATCTGCGTAGAAGATCAGGAAGTGGGTAAGGTCACTTCTGGCTGTCCGTCACCCTCTCTAGGCGGCAATATCGCCATGGGCTACGTCCCTACGAGCTACAGCAAAGTAGGTACCAGGGTTGGTCTGAAGATACGCGATAGGGTGTACGACGCTGTCGTCAGTAAGATGCCTTTCGTCAAGGCCAACTATTACAACAGGCCTAAATAAAGACACCGCTGAGAAACGAGCTCTTCTTTTGTTTTTTTTTCCGTAACCACCCCGTAAATATACTTTTAGGTAGTTTGAGGGGGTAGTTAGGGCATGATTTTTACTTTGCAACTGATGATTTTTAAAGTACAGCGGTAATAGTCTACGGGTCCATGTACAAAGGAAAAAATGATTACCAGCAAGCTGTAACTTAGCGTGCAGCTTAAGTTTGACGAGTCTCCCAAGATTTGACTACGAGGAAAATTCAACAGTGGTAAGTTTTCCCGTGATTTTCAGGAAAACATGTCAATCTGGCGTAAACATGGAATGTTATGACCAGCACTTTTTTTAAAGTTTAAATGAAGGATATATTTTTTTGAACCCCCCAAAAAATTTGTCCGACAAAAATTTTGGTATTTCGAGTTTACCCCCCCACCCCAAATATGTCGATTTGGTGAAATTATGGTTGGTGACAACCAGCAAGCTGATTTTTCTGGGAGGGTTTAGTAATAAGATTTGAAATGAAAGTATCTTATTGTCCGACAAAATTCTTGAGAAGTTTTTGCAGTCCGACGCCCCGAAGATGTTGACATAACGAGAATATGGTTGGTGATAACCAGCTGTCGGACAAAAGCGTCATTATTTAAAAAAATGCAATACTAACCTGAGAATTTAATTGTCCAACAAAATTATCGGTTTTTTTTTGCTTGTCCGACAAAATTTAACGATAAAATTTTGCGGTTTCAATACTTACGCATGATGTAGAAGAAAAATTTATATTTAATAAAAAAATATATGAATAAAAAAAATTTTGTTTAAATTTCGCAGATTTCAAAATAAATACGACTAATTTAAATTTATTTTTTATACAATTACAAAAAAATTGTATACAGGGTGGTCCCGAGCTAATAGGTCAAAATTCATGGGTAGATTCTCCAAGCAAAAATATTGCGATATAGCCGAACTTACCTTAGTCCGAAAGTTGATAGTTAAAGAGGTACAGGGTGTTAAATGTAAAATATTATTTCAGTTTTTTTAAATTTATTCCTTAACAAATGCAAATATCACAAAATTTTGAGGTTTGGAGTTATTTATGTAGAGGAATTGAAATGTGTTCACATTTTGGTTAAAGTTCATAGAGGGCGCTAGCTGCAGTAGATTGAATGTGTTAAAAACGATATAACTTTTTTATACTTTAAGGTATCTCACCTTTGGTATCAAATTCTTATTTTCCAACTTTTTTTACACAAAAAAGCTACACTTTATAAAACTAGCTGTCTCCCACCGTTTTCAAAATATTTGGCTTTGAAACTTCCAGTCATTTCGCATTAAGGATTTATATGTTACAACAAGACAATCTTTTAATAAACGCGTTGATAAATGTATATTTTTAAAATTGGTTTAAAATTGGTTTAATTGGTTTTTCAAGAACAAAACTATGTGTAAACTGTTTGTCAAAACAAGATTGCAAATTTTAATTTAAAAAAACACATGCAACAATTTATGCATTCATTGTACAGTTACCAATTTTTATAAAATAGTTACAATAGTTTATAAAATAAAATGTACATATAAGTTTTTTGAACAAACAAATCATTTTGATGGAGATTAATTAAATCAGTTAAACATAATTATTTATGAATTTCAATTTCTGTTGCTACTATTAACAAGATTATTTTTTTATTTATTCTTTTTTATTTTTTCATTAAAAAATTTATTATTTTATAGCGGAATGAACAATAGGTACCACAAAAATAGTTATTTTTCCCATTTTTAAGGCAAATTTTCCAATCTTTTTGGCGGACAAGTATATTATTGTGTTATACATTTCAATTATTAGAGAAAAAAATCAAAACCAGATTGCTGGTGGTGCTGGTCATAACATTCCATGTTTATGCCAGATTGACATGTTTTCCTGAAAATCACGGGAAAACTTACCACTGTTGAATTTTCCTCGTAGTCAAATCTTGGGAGACTCGTTGAACTTAAGCTGCACGCAAAGTTACAGCTTGCTGGTAATCATTCTTTTCTTCGTACGTGGGTCCGTGGACTATAAGTAATATGAGTTATTTTATTTTCTTCACCTAAAATGACAAAATATTTAAAATACGGCAACGAGAAATGTGAAATAAAATCAAGTGCTCGGTGTTAAAAATTAGGACACTCCCTATGGATTGAACGAAAACGGCGCCATCTGTTGGCACCGTTTTCACAACTGTGAATAATTCCCGAAGCAACTCAAAAAAAATGTGTTTTAAGATCAATTCTGGTATCACTTTATTTATATATTTTTCAATTTTTTACAATTATAGTCCATCCTTTATTATACACATCTTAAAGCCTAGTTGAATGTTTACATTTAAAATATTTCAAAGGCGTATATAGGGTGTCGCGACTGAGTCGTACAGGCGATCAGAAGTGGGATTTTCCCGACTTTTTAACTATACATATAGTCCAGAATTTAACACCTGGAAATAAAAAATATGGTGATATAGGAAAAAAATTCTAAGAAAGATAGTGTTTTTTTTCTGTGGCGCATAAAAGTTATCCTAAAAAATTAATAAAAGTAAAAAAAACTGCTTTTCACTAATAAAAAATAAACTTAAACTTTAATCGGAAAATTTTAAACGACGACGAAGTTGTAGATATTAAAAAAACCTATCGATTCGTATTTTTAAATATATCGATATATATCGAAAAAACCGTCAAAAATCGAGTTTTCTTGTTTTGCTGTATCTCTTGCAAATTAGGGTTTTGAAACTTGTTACTTGCTGTAAATGTAGCCCTCGACAAGCAAAAAAAGTGCCTTTTTTTAAATTAAAAAGCTCATCTCGAAAATCGACTCTTCTTGCTCGACGAATAATCGTAGAGAAACGAATCAGGGCTAATTTTTTTCCTTAAAAGTTGTACTTTCATGGTAAAAAAGAGTGGTAACGATTTTATTCATTTCATGTGTCCAAAAATGACTGAAAAAAGTAAAAAGCGTTTTTGTTGAATATCTTTTTCGATTTTCATTTCTCGATAATGTCTATTACAGGAATTGATTGCTGGCATTTTTACGCGAATTTAAAAAAAAATACGTTGCTCTACGACCTTCTGGAGCTGAGATAATTTTTTTTGCACAATTAAAAATGCAAAAGTGGCTAAAATTAACCCTGATTCGTTTCTCTACGATTATTGGTCGAGCAAGAAGAGCCGATTTTCGAGATAACCTTTTTTATCGAAAAATCGAGATAACTCGAAAAATTCTTAATATTTTTTAATTTAAAAAAAGGCACTTTTTTGCTTGCCGAAAGCTATATTTACTGCAAATAACAAGTTTCAGAACCTTAATTTGCAAGAGATACAGCAAAAACAGAAAAAGTCGATTTTTGATCGTTTTTTCGATATATATCGAAAAGTAATATAGCAATCGATATATTTAAAAATACGAACTTTTCTTTGATTAGCGAAAAACCGTTTTTTTACTTTTATGAATTTTTTAAGTTAACTTCGCTGTTTATGCGCCATAAGAAAGAAACACTATCTTTCTTAGAATTTTTTTCCTATATCACCATATTTTTCGTTTCCAGGTGGTATTTTTTGTAAATTTAACAAATAATCCGTGACAGATTAATTGGACTAATACCCCAGTCGACACCAACACTTTAAATATCCTAAAAATCAATAATAATATTTACAATAAGAATAATTGATTACCTAAAACATTTGCCTTTAAGAATGAATTTACTATAAGTCCAATACCTACCTATACATATGTACCTTGTGAACAACATAAGTTAAAAAAAATATGTACATAAAAATATGCTTTTATATGTGTGTAAAGTGTTGAAAAATCCTGCAAAAGAACTAGATGGTACAGGGCGATACACGTTTCTCTGAACGTCGTAATTTTTTTTGCCGATTTTTTTTGTTTTCTCCCAGTCATTGTAAAGAAACTTATGTGTCACCCTGTACAAATACTGATCCCCATATCGAACATTTTCATAGTTAAACTACAAAATCAAGTAAAAGCTGTTTACTGTACACTAAGCCTGAAGATATACATTTCCTTTGGCCACCCTGTATAATCATTTCACCAGTACCAAACAAAAGTATTAGTTCTAGAGACGTGAATATGTGCCAACGAAAAAGTTTTACGGAATTCTGCGATAATTATACAGGGTATTACAAACATACTTCACTATTTTAGTATAATTACGATTGAGATTTAATGTTGATTGTGGTTATACAAAAAATTCCGCTAACTTACTAATTTCTTTAGAATTATAAACACATAACTGATGCGATGTAAGATTTACATTTCACAATAAACACGCACTCTACAAGGTGTTACGTAAAAAAATGCCTTACGCTTAACAGAACGATAGAAATTTCATAATGCACAAGATTTTTCGTTATTTTAACAAGGGGGATCGCCAGGACCAATCGTTACGATTAAGCTGTTTTTCGTTCTCTCCATAAGGGCAAGATGTAATAGTATTAGCGAGATAGCTCCCGAAAAATCAATGAAACTTAGCATAAAATTGAAAGAGCGTCAGCGCCATCTATCGTTTTTGTCCATTAGGTTCTAGTTTTCCTGACGGTTAATAGATGGCGCCTTCAGCGTCAGTACGATACCTCCATGCAAATCTCAATAATTTGGAAGAATAACACGTTATTATTTTGATTTAATCGTAAAATTATAACAATCATTCATATATAGAACGAAAAAAAGTTATTCCCAATGTGCTATTGCCCACAGGGGCATCACAGTCGACAGAAGGGATAACTTTATCGTCCTAAATATTTAGTTGTACATATACACACTTGTGGGGTACAAAATAAATCGTTTTTTAATGTACCAAGAGCTAGAAAACAATGTACATTTAAGAATAATTGTGTTTGTAAAGTTGACAGGCCTGAAAGTGGAAAAACTCGAGGTATTCAGAACTTGCCGTTCGTGGAAATAATAAAACTACAAAAGCGTTCGTATCCCAGGTCCCCCCACCGCCCCCCTCTTCCTCCTCTCCTATGCAGCGGATTATGGCGCTGCTGGTTTTTCCGGTTGGACTGGCTGCGCTGCTTGGCCTCCGGTGATTGCGCCCGCGGCTTGCCCGGTCGCTACAGCGTTCGTGCCTCCGCTTGGCGCCGTCTCAGCAGGCATGAACTTCACTATAGCCAGAAAAAATCAAGTGTACTGGGTGTTTAGTTAAGTTTCACGACCGACTTTAAATCGTTTGATTAACAAAGAGGGAACAGAAACTAAACGGAAATGAAATTTGATGATCCAGATGGCGCTTATGGCGTGTTATAAAGTCCCTAGACTGATCAAATACCTCAACTGTTCCTATAATTCCATTCCGCTGTATATTGCCTAATTTTTTTTTATATTTAGCTGCAAATTTTGAAATATTATCAGATAAAATTATTTCTTATATTGCCCGATACGAAAAAATGCTCTCTTCTCTAAAAAATTAAGGTTTCCATTTAGCCATATCCACTTTATTTGTGGAAGGGCGAAACGAGCGGTGACTATGAGACGCCTTCATTATAGCCATCCTTCTCTATCGCACGGATTTCTATGACTTACTTTATCGCTCTCACGTAACGGCCGACGAACCATGGGGACTTTCCGAACCTGTATGTCAAGGCGTAAGTGACTGCCAAGTAACGTATTGACGCTATGACTGTAGTGATGAATAAAACAGTTATTACATGCCGTCAATCGGTTTAATTCAAATTACATCTTAATGGAGATTTACGAAAATTAACCCGTAAGACCTTTAGAGGGCTTTATAGCAAATGGGGAACCAGCAATACATTTTTATAGTTTGGCTAAATATGAATGAATACACAAATAAGAGACTTTCCCCCATTTAAACGCAGATTTTCTATAAAATGGATTTAGTTTGAAACTCAAATAACTGCCGCTTGTTCAAAAGCGGCAAATTACAAATTTCTTTGCAACAAAAAGTAATTTAAGCTTCAAACTAACTCCATTCTATAAAAAATCTGCGTTAGAATAGAGGAAAGTCTGTTATTTGTGCATTGCTCCATATTTAGACAAACTATGCAATAAAATCTATAAAAAATGTATTGCTGGTTGGCTATTTGCTATAGAGCCCTCTTATCAACAACGATAGGTATATTAACCTGAGCACCCAGAGTGAATTATCGCAAACCCCTAATTTCTAATATACAGGGCGATTTATTAAAATTCAGCAATATTTAAATGTAGGTTAGTCTAGCATGTAAAAAACAACCTGTAAATTTTCAGGGCAGTCCAAGGTTACTAATACTATTATTTTGGTTTCATAATTCTTTAAAATTAATGCCTGTGAAGTAGGGGCTGTTCGATAGCATCGAGAGAGATCATAGAACCACTAATCATATGTGAGTTCGTGACACTTCAATTTGTTTTATAGCTAGTTTAGTTCAATAATTCGGGTAGCAACTACTAATACGTTAGATTTAGTTTTGCAGGCTGTCCTGACGCAACAGACGGCGGAGCAAGCGATCGACAATGCCACAAACACAATTCGTGAGCAACGAAATAAGCGTGATCGCATACACGAACATCTTATATCGGTATATAGAACTAAACTAAAATTATTTTTGAAAAAACAGGAGTGTAATTTATGTCTGAGGGATCGCAGTGGCTATGGACGAGACACGCGGAACAAACAAATGACTTTGACAGAAGTTTATTTCCTATTTTAACAATAAAATAATATTTTAAACTGAAATATGTCGAAAAGTCCTGAATCAAACAGTAACATATTATATATTTTTGAAAAGAGAAAAATTTAACGAAGCTAAGTATGCATTAATATACAGTGTGGTCCGTAAGTAATGGTCCATAGAGACATAATAGATTTTTTACTTCAAAATATTACGATTGGAGCCAACATGCCTTAATAATATGTTGATAACAAAAAAGATACAGGGTGTCAAAGTTGGAAATTAAAAATTGAATTTTCGTAATAATTATAATATTTTTGAGTGTATGAACGTGAAAATTTAGGGGTAAATGTTTCTGTATACGAGAAATCATAATTTGTTATCTATTTCGATGTATCTTCTAGAGGGCGCCACATACGCCGTGTTTATGACGTAAATACGAGCATAATTTTTTTATCCACAACGTTAAAGCTTATTTTTTTTTTAAATCTTAAACCTACATAATTTTCGTGAAAAAATGGTATACTTGTCATTAGCTCTAGAAATTGTCCGTTTTCAAGAAAAACGCATTTCAACAATCTGCTGCATGTTTCATTACAGGAAATTTTATAAGTAGTATATAAAAGCAGCTCCTAGAACACGATTGCGAACGCACTCCATTCTCTTATCGACTAGGTTCCGCAAAACCCCGTCTAGTTGGTATACTTAACTTAAAAAACGCCCCGCACTAGAACTAGATGTTCAGTTTTCTCTGTAGTGTAAAATCTGTCTGTCTTTCTCTGTATATACCGTATCTCGGCAGATGTGATGAAAATGTAATGTAGCATGAATCAGGCAGAAAATGTAGTAAAAAGTCAAGTGTAAATGTACCATGCAATAGAAGATAATATTATCAATATACCTTCCACAGTCCAGTCCGTTCTCTTCTATCGTCCTGGTATCCGAAACGAAATTAACACATTTCTTCACACTTCTCTTCTTTCCGTAATAGTGTTTATTAAATGCAAGCTAACCTTACATTTAGAGGACAGATTTTTACGTCACATAGTTACGAAAGAAATATTGCATTGTTATTACTTCGCTGTAGATGCGATTCTGTTCCTCTAGATACAAGGTCGTTTCCCCCAATAAATCCAACTTTTAGTGCCACATATTTTATTAATTCGAATTTTGGAATTTTACAATTTTTAACAAATTAAAAAACGCTACATTAAAAAAACCCTTCTCATATTGCCGATGTTGTTTTTTAAATGCATCTTTTTTTTTCTCGTAAGCGATTGTTTATCCTATATACATGTATATAAACATTTTCATCTAACAGATAAATTAATCTCCTAACTTCAAGTCATATCGCCTACAGCCTGAATATGAATACTTACAGCTAAAATTATGTACATATCCAGTACCAGTTAGTTGTTTTTAGGGTCGGCGCAATCAAAACAAAAACGAATCGTTTGAAAACGAGAGACAAACGAGAAGAGCGCGGCGGAAACCTAACCTCTCTTTTAAGCAGCCACCCTTATCGTTCCAAAACTTGAACTGTACAAACATAACCTCACTTTATTAGGCTGACAAAAAAATAAACTAATCACACTTTATGAAACAGTTTTCTTTTATTATGGTTTATTGGTATGTTATCTGGACAAAATGAATGTAAGTAACGAAAAAAGTATGTAAATTACTTATTATTTTAAAGAATTATCTAATTTTATGTGTGTGACTGCATATTTTTGGTTAAATAAGTGTGCAAGGGGTATTTCAATCACGAAAGTACATTTTGATCTTCCTTTTGTTGTGATTGCCCGACGATTTTATTATGTCTATTCGATTTTTGTTACAAGTAAAAAGATCAAGTTAACCTAGTTAAAAGTAAAAGAAATATCCACTGAAAATTTCACTATATCTTACATAACTTAAACAATTATTAATATATTAGACAAGTTCGTTTAAATACATTTTTTAAGACTTTTGACAGCACACCTACCATTCTTACCAAGGAACAAAATACCCGATATTATCCCCCGTTTTTCGTTTAATGCGCCGCCATCTTGTGTCAATCAGGGGAAATACCAGATATTCCTTCCGTTATAAAAATGAGACAGTTGTGATTTTATTTTGTTTGAAGACTTTACCATTGAATATATCGCCAACAAATCTAACTCCCTACCGACCTTTTTATAATCTTACAAGTATTTATTTTTATAATATTTGGTTTGGTGTATTGTTTTTTATAAATGGTAGATTTTCTTATTTTGCCAAATATCATTCTTACTGTAAAAGAAATTACGGGAAGTATGAGTTTCGTTGTTCTCTTGCGACGGCAAGCTATGAGAAAGAACATCGGGTTAGCTTTGAAACTAGAAATAGTCGTCGCCCATCGGATTGGCATCATTAGGTGTCACTGCGTCTAATTGTTCACAGTTTTAAGACAAATAGGGGGCAGAGAAGCGAATTGTTGCTTAAACTTTACAACAGGGCAAAAAAATTATAAATGCAATAAATATTATTGATAATACAAAAAAAAAATTAAATGAATCCGTTGTTCTTTCCCAACGGCGCCATATTTCGGATACCATGCACTACGCATGCAACGAGAATGGAGTATTATACAAATTTAGTTTAGAACGCATTTAAAGTAAAACCAAGGTTGATATTTAGCCTCGTAAGATGATTTAGACAAATTATGATAACTTTCAGTATTTTGTTAGTTTTCTGAAACGATTCATTGTCATCGTCTTGTGCAAAACAGAAAAGAGTACATTCATAGATTTAGGAAATGACTACCTGAGTCGACCCGAGTTCAGTCACCCGTCACGAAATTCATTTGTCAAGAGAGCGATTTACAAGTAAAGTATTTCCGACGGAGATCGGTTTAGGACTTATTGATGGTCCTCATCATTATGTTGTTAGAATGATCCGGCTGCTTTAGTGTCGTTACTCACAAAGAGATGTGTATACACAGAGCGTAAGTAGCTCCATCTATCGTGCTACTTCCCACCTAGGCCATTCTGTGACCTGCTACAATTTTCTTTCAAGAAAACATAAGTTTGATTATAATATGCTACATATCTCTTGAATAATTCCTGCATTAATACTAAATTTTAAATATATATTTTAAGGAACTGCTGGTTTTGAAACAAATATGATTGCAGTTTATGATGAACTATAAGATATATTGTAATTAAAGTCCGAGATAATAACTTTCAAAACTGTAAAAGATTTGCATTAAATTATATACCTAATTTACAAATAATATAAATTCTAAGAAAAATTATAATTACAGCAAATGTTTCACATAGTTTGACCAAAGTATATACATTTGAATAGAGTAAAATAACAATAACGGCAAATAATTCCATTTAAATCTGCTCATTTCATTCAAATACTTTTTTTTCAGTGTATCTTTTACTTTAAATGATAATGTACTGCATTTTATTTTTAATGAAGTGAACAAAGTGTGTATATGCAAAAATTGTATTGTACATGTTAAAATTGTTTGAAGATTCACATTGCGAATACGACAGAGATATTTATTTTTGACATTGATAATGATACTGACAGTGAACTTTCTTTTTTTAAATTTTGGACGTTTTGGGTAAGTACCAATTAGTCAAAATGTCTCATATTACAATAATAACGAACTTATTTCCGTAATTTATGGGGAATGTTCTCAAAATTATGTAGAAGCATCACTTTATCGTATGTAATAAACACAGAAATAAGTTAATTCTTAATTCTCAACGATGTCAAAGAACAACAATCGACTATCGCCAGAAAAAGGTTTTTCCTTAGTCAGGTTCCATAGCATACGTTGAATATTAGGAAGGATGTATATTTTAAAAATTGTAACCAGTAAATTTTTATTAGAATATGTTTTAACTTTATACTGTTTCATTTTGATATAAAAAAAGGAGTCGTTAAAATTAAAACAAACTTTCAAAACGTCGTCTTTGCTTTTATGACTTGGTAGTCATTCTCTTAAATATATGAATGTAAACGTCTAGTGGCTAGTATTGGCCGCTGTTGGTACTACCAACCTAACACAATAATACTATTCAGAATTGCCAACATAACTATAATAAATTTTTAATTTTACAACTGGAGTGACTTTATTTTCTGCGTTTTGTGTTTATTTAATATTTTATTTAATTTCACTTAGGAAATCGATCCCATTTAGTCAAACATGAGTCTTAGTCTCCTAAAAAGACTAAAAAATGTCTCCTAAAAGACATTTAAATCATAGTTCTGACTAAAATTTGGGCAAACACAGTTAATTTTAAATCGACTTTCGACAAAATGTAACGTTTAAAATAAACAACTTAAAAAGTTCAAGCATCTACTGTACTTGGATGAAATCATGCAGTATCAGGGGAAAAAACCCCTTTAAAAAACATGCTCACAATATACGTGATAATAACACATACTGGGAGTAAATGATCACATCGACAATTTTAAGTGTTAGTGACCAATATAAGTTACATATTTAATGATTTTTGAAAGAGACTATCACACGTAGGATGATGCTGCAGAACAATCTTGGGACTAATTCCTCACGTCGCAATAAACAAATAAATAAGAGTAACATTTTCTTCGGGATACATACAAACGACTATTATGTACAATAACGAATTAGTTTCCAAAGTCATAAAAATGGAGGGAAGATTGTTTACAGACTGGTTTATTGTATAATTTTTTACGTAAATTCACGTTCTTCGCTTATAACTTTTTTCCGTTCATTTCCACGAGAATACAGTAAAGTAATTTTTTTTCGTCTTCAAAAGACCTACAAAACTAGCCCTAGAGCGTCAAAAAATATTGATTAGATCAAAAGTTATAAACAGAAGAAGTTTGTTTATGACTTTTGAATTATACATATTTATAAATTGCGTTACTATTACCAAAACGTTTTGGCATCGCATTCCTTATCACTGTCTAACAACTCACATGAAATCTGGAATCGGTAAGTAGAATAGTTTTCAAGTTATAATTTTATAAACAAATTAACTAATTATTAGTCTGGACGATCCGGAGGATCTTCCACAATCGCACTGATTTTTGTCATGGTATATTTCATAATAATACATTGAAATCTATAATTTTTTTTTAAATTTCAAATTTGTAACCTGGAAATTTTTTTTATTTTTTACGACGTACGAGCGTGATATAGCTATACGTATTCGGAAAGCTTATGAAAAGAACTTTCAGTTAAAAAAAATCTTCAAGATTCGTTGAAAAACAACGGAGATACAGACTGTCAAATATATTATTTTCAAGCGAATTTCGCTTTTTTAACGGCAGAACTATGAATATTATCGCCATTTTCTTCGGACTCGCTGTTGTTTGTTTCCCCCACCCTTCCGCCGCGCCACGGCTCGCCGAAAATCAAGCGACCCACTGACTTTTGACAATATTTCTTATGCACTTAACATACTTCCACAAATAAAATATTTTTATCNATGAATATTATCGTCATTTTCTTCGGACTCGCTGTCGTTCGTTTCCCCCACCCTTCCGCCGCGCCACGGCTCGCCGAAAATCAAGCGACCCACTGACTTTTGACAATATTTCTTATGCACTTAACATACTTCCACAAATAAAATATTTTTACCTGGGAAAGTACTCGAGTTGCCGGTTATGACAATATTTTTTTTGCCGCTACCAACCTAATTTGTTTAATAGGCCGTCAACTTTAACAGTCCGTTGTTTTTCAACTAATCTTGGCGATTTTTTTTAACTTAAAGCTCTTTTCATAAGCTTTCCGAATAATGATATATAGCTATATCACGCTCGTGCGTCGTATACTTCATTTTGCAACTAAGGCTAAAAAAATTTGGCGATGCCAAAACGTTCTGGTAATAATAACGCAGTTTATAAATGTTTAATTCAAAAGTCATAAATAAACTTCTTCTGTTTATAACTTTCGATCTAATCAATATTTTTTGATGCTCGAAGGCTAGTTTTGTAGGTCTTTTGAAGACGAAAAAAAAGTACATTACTGTTTTCTCGTGGAAATGAACGGAAAAAAAGTTATTAGCGAAAAACGTGAATTTACGTAAAAATTATACAATTAACCATCCTGTAAACAATCTTCCCCCCATTTTTATGACTGTGGAAACTAATATGTCATTGTACATAATATTTAACATCTGTAGTGATAAATTCAGCTTGCCGAAACAAAAAGTCGCGAAATGGTCATTTCCCAACTTATTTTCCTCCCCTATATAACTTTTAAACTGGAAATAATCCAGAAAAATTTCTCTAATAAAAGTTTATTAGAGAAAAGAGAGCTTTTTAACAGGAAAAAAAATTGGGTATGTTTCTGGATGAAATATAATTAGTCGTTTCTGTCAAATTCCAAAAATAATACTTTCGATTGAAAATGTTCCACGAACGGTTTTCAGTGAATGTGTGGTATGGTCAAATAAATAGTCTGTTTCTTCACATGATTTTTATAACACTTCTCTGAATTTGCTCCAGTCCATTATTCGTGTAATGTACAAAGCTCACGTGATCTCTTAAATGCGTAACCTGCCACTTTTAACTACGCGGACCTCAAGATACGGAGTTCGTTTGTAATTTAACGACGATGAAAAACATTCAAATTCACAGTTAAATGTACCATCTTCAAATGCGGAACAACCCTTCGCTCCGTCGCCGGTGACCCGCACTATCACCCTCCACATGCACTGTAGGTTGCCGACAATCTTGTTATAAATACGTGAGTATTACAGTGGCGGCGTACACAAGAATTGAAGTGTATTTTAAACTATTTATTTGAGTTAAAAAAAAGGAAACAATATGTTACTCTTTATTTGTTGTTTATTTCAACGAGAAAAATCAGTTCTGCCCCGCGTTGCGATATCAAACTCTTCATTCGTAGCCGTATTGACAAGAAATCAATTTACTCTCACTATGCCCTCATTGAAATGATTCAAATCGGTCTATATGTCATAAATGGTGGGGGGATAGGGGGGCGCTAAGACAGAAAGACAGACAGAAGCCTTTACATTAAAACACAAATTTCATTCAAAACTATTACCGAATTTTTGGCCCAGTTACATGAAGTTCACTAGGGAGGAAAAAACACTCTCGTTAAGACAAATTTTGATTTCCAATTGGTTAGTAGGTTTGGCTCGGTGTTTTCTGTGTACCGGGTAATATATTTTGGGGTAGTTGTAGTATTATTATGGCGTTAAGTTACCTCCAAAACGCCTTGAGTTCACCTTTATCGTTCTGCGATCTTGCGGCAGTTGTCGAAACGTTTGAGATCTTTGTATCGTTTCGAAATTTCTTGTTTTGTAGGTAACTTAACACGACAAGTTGTTTTGTGTAAAACTTCCTTCAAATAATGTTGCTTTATCTGTTCGAGAATGAGTGATTTACAGGTATGAGGATGACGGTGTTTGTTTGATAGATATATAGAGAGAGAGATAATAAAAGGGTTTACTTACTAACAATGATGATTAGAATTACAAGGCCGATAACTCCCATTATTATCATCATCTGGAAAATAAAAAACGGAAATTATAATGAAATCTAGCGCCATCTGTTTACATAATAGTACCTCTGGTAGGTACTTTTACAATGAGATTTGGATAATACAGCGTGATAAAAACTTTGTTGCGACGACATTTTGCTGGCGCAAAAGCCTGAAATTATTTCCCCAAATTTTAGCTTCATTTTGAACAGACTGGAATATTTCGTATATTGACAATCCTATTGGCGACTTGATTTTAAACAAAGTTATACAAAAACAAAATCAAAGTGCAGTGTTATGTGTTACTAGAAATGCAAAGATTTGCAAAAATGACAGATTTTTGCGTCTTCACAAATTCCAGGTATTCCCCAAATTGTGTCAACAACTTCAAGTATTTGGTTTCGCAATTCTTCCACCGTCGCAATTGGAGTATTGTAAACCAAAGACATATCAAGTGACTCCAAAGATAAAAGTCCATCAGAGTTAGAGGCGCGTCCAATCCAACGCTGAGGAAACATTTCATTTAAAAGTGTTGTTAATTCTCGAGAATTGGGTGGAAGAGCCCCATCTTGAAGATAAAACATGAGTGCCCGAACTGGTAATGCCACATCGTCTAATAATTCAAACGTTTACCGCGAACCGATGTTGAAAATGAGTTTCCCTAATCGCGTGAGGATTTTCATCGGCCCATATGTGCATATTATGGAAATTCATCACGGGTAAATGTCGCCTCATCTGTTACACAAACATAAGCCGGAAAGTCTACTTGATTGGCACATTGCCGTAAAAACTATCTGCAAAACGCATTCGTTGATCACAATCCGGGGAACATTAAGGTTCACTTGCTGATCACGTCCTTCTCCTCGAGGAATAACACTTCCCATATCTCGCAACCGCTGAACACACTGTAGGACTGTATTTGCACATGTGGGGGGGGGGCATTGTGGCCATCGTTCCCGGTACAACCTAGTCGCCGCGAGGGCATTTTCTCCGGCTGCACCATACACTAACACCATATCCGACACGTTCGGAAATAGTAAATGCATTGTTTTCTCGGTTAATCGTAAAACTAGTTTGTGCACAAACTAAAAAATTAAGCAAAGTAAGAAATAAGAATCTCCTTTTTAATGTAATCGGCACGCTATTCTTATTTTTTACTTTTTTATAAAAATTACACTGTCACTATCTTGGAATTACAAAATAAAAACTTTTGTCTGGAATCTTTCACTTTTTAACACTGATGGGTCGATGGACGATGCTTATTATTTAATAACTAAGTGAATAATGAATTCAATAAAAATATAAAATCAGTTGACTGCCCAAATTTTTTGAGAATGTAACCTAACCTTTTAGTATTACTAGTATTAGATTATACCCACTCATATTATAAGGATGTATCTCGGGTCGCATAAAAACATTTACAAAGTTTTTAATAAATAAACACAGGGTCGGCCTTCATCTTTGTTGAATAAATGAACTTTTTACAAAAAAAAAACGCGAAGATAGAACTTTTTCGTATAAGACTTTTGTAGTTTAAATTTTATAGATTATACACGCCACACCCTGTATAACTTGCTGAAATTAATGTTTCTTTCAATCCTATAAAATTCACTATATTTTAAAGCTAAAATTTGGGTTAGATTAGGTATAATTCGAGTTAGATATAACCTAAGGCTGAAATTAAAACAATTTCAAATAATTCTTTTGACACATGAGTTGGCAACCTCACAATTCATTGGTGTGCGTGTACAAGTGATTACCTCCCATGTGGGCAGCGGTTTTCAAAATGTACACGTGGATGGACTTCTTTGAAAAGAAATATTTCCGTAAATATTTGCGATTTTGAAAAATTTCTTCACGAAACTCAATTAAATCGGGAAATATAAAAACGACTCTACGGAAATTGATTTAATGAAAACTATTTTAGGGGAAATAACAAAAAGACAATATTAGCTTTGCACTTGGGTATTACTATAATATGCTTACCTTTAAATTTTGTAACCAGAACTTTCTCTTGAGTTTTCCCGCCTGTTGTTCAAACTGCGACGCACCTTGCTGCAAGGCATCTAAAAATAGTATTACCGTTACACGTATATATTGTAGGCTTATTATACGTACTCTAGGAGCTTTACGTTGTAGCATAATCTTAATGATACATCTATTTTTTCCTTCTCATACCCGTAAAGGGTCGGTTCTAACCTCAATTTTGAATAAATCATCGCTGATTTCCTTCCTAAATAGACCCTTTTACTGTGACGTCACATATTTAGGCAACGCCGCAACAAATCGTCATAGTTGAAATTGTACAGACCGAATCTGATCCTTGTGTGCTATTTACATAGATACTATAAAAATGAACAACTTCAAATTAACTTATTTGTACAAGGATTTATAGGTATTTAAGAACAACCAACACGTGTTTGGTAAAATAGATACACTACTGTGCTTTAAACTGACAAAAAACGATATAAAAGGATATCCCTAAATTTAAATAAAGTACAAATTTAACAGTAGCCGTGTTACTCCTAATGCGCATGCTCGGAAGGAATAGCCTCATACGCAGGTGAGAGCTTGTTGATACGTCATCGACGTCATGATTAGTGGTTTGTGGTTGCTTTTCTGTACTACTTTTTGGTTTGTTCCATTACTTATAATGTTTTAAAGACTTTGCAATAGTTCTTTTTCTATCGTCATCACTGATAAGTTTTTTAAGCGCTCTTGTGTCATCGTATTTCTAAGTCTTAATGCGCTTAACACAAAAAAATTTATTTCTACCGTGAAACTTGTTGCAGGAATTGTTAAAACTGGTCAAAACAATTTGTATGTTTCCGAAAATACCATTTTAATTTCCTTGTATAATATCTCTACTGTTTTTTGAACTTCTAAATTACGAAATTGTTCGTCTCTGTACAAAATATTAAGTTCGTTTTCGACCTATCTTATTTCAAAAACGTTTGGATACATTTGTAATAAACATTCGAACAATCTTTCGGGAAATTTGTTTGCATAGTCGGAAAATTTTGCAAATGTGCACTATGGGCCGGGTTGCCTATTATTTGGCGTATATGACGTCACTATTAAAAAGGTCTTTCCAATTTACAAAATCCTAACTCAATCCTAACCTATTTTAAAAATAAAAGAAGAATAAAACGCGTTAGTGATTCGTTTAATTATTGGTCTTACCCGCTCTATCGTCCAGCTCCGATAACTTTGAGTCTCTCTCCAGCACCTTCTCAACGTTCGTCTTCATAATATCGACGACTTCGTCGACTTGGGCCTGCGTCTGCTGCAGCCGTTTCTGGGCGGCAATTTGCTGGGGCGTCCGAGGACCCCCCGTGATCTCGCCGCCCTCTCCGCCTCCGGTACCCGCCCCTGGGGCCAGTGCGTCCCCTGCTGACCTGAGAAGCAGAAGGGGCAAGGTACAGTGCTTACGTGGGATATTTCAGGTATTACACTTGTAAAACATATCAACAATTAAGAAAACTAAAATAAAAACGTAAACACATTTTTGGTATAACATATCTGCTCCCACTATAGTACCTAAATAGACTACTAATACATTGTTATTAAGGAGGTAAGTGGATTTGACCGTAGAAGTGGAAGTTACTATGGACAACGGGAGGTGAGGTAACTGTATTAGCCAGTAACGTTGCCGATGTTATTCGGAATGAACGGCCTGTATATGTTTCAGGATGTTCTAGTTTAAAAAACGGTGCAATCTTATTAGGAATCATAGAAAGGGTATTCTTGCCGACTGGTTGGTTGTATCATCTACCTGCTTCATAGCGCGTAAAAAAAGCATGAAATTTCAGTTTTATTTTTAATTTTATTTTGATATATTTCTTGAGAATTTTTAGGTGAGAAACAGAACCCAGACGAAAAGTAATTGTAAACGTACCTACGTGACATACCATGTTTAGAATCTGGAATTGTACCTATAATAATGTCATCGAAATTTTTGAAATTGTCGTTCAAAGTTAGCTTGAGAAAATCGTTGACTTGTTCTCTTGTAAAAGTATGCCTTTTATTCTTTGAAAAATATTATCTATTCCCGCTTTACGCAGTCTCGTAACATTTATTATTTAGACAAAGGGTCTCAAAAATATGGTTCGCACGCCACTGGGTTTTTGTATTGACGCAAAATGGCAGGGAATGGTGTAGGTCCCCGTTAAAACCCCTCATATTAAATTAGAAAAAAATCCCTTAACGTATCTCCGAGATCCTATGCCTAAAAATCGGTTTTATGTTTTTAACTTCAACACCCTGTACCTATCTCGGAAACTAAACTATGAGTGACACTGTATACGACTTTTGGCCCATTCTTTAACGGACACCCTGTATAATGTATGCTTTATGGCCAACACTCTTTTCTCTGTTCTGTTCAAATTTCATTAAGTATTGACATTCGATGATAAAAACAAACCCTGACGTCATCAATCTGGGTGCAATCATTTAAAATCGGAAATAAAGAAAACGAATGCGATCTTTTCATTATTTACGTACTATATTATTTCATTGCTATCAAACGGAAGTAAGTCTACCGGTTGCTTTTTGTTTGTCGTTATCGGGCGTTGCCCTTGAAAATAACCATACGTCAAAATCAAAAACTGATACAATATCAGTGTATTTCATAACTCTCACAGGGTGTTTAAGTTAAAATTAAATCACATGTTTTTGTGTTATACCTCAGTGATATACTGTTATTGCAACCAGGCCCTTTTTCAAAATAAAAAAGGTTATGCCACTGGGCATAGATTACATATATAATTATTTTGTTGAATTATACAATAAATTCACCAAAAAACATGCAGTTTCTTAAGGAAATTTACGGTTGTACTGTCAATTAAAAATTATATATATCATTAACTATTGCCCGTGGATTTTGGACAGTGGCGTCACATTTTTATCTTGAAAGGTTTAGCTAAAATAGTAACAAGTCATAGGGGCTACATATTGAAATTTTAATATTCTAATTCTGTTAATAATACTACTGTAGGTACCTCAGGCCAAATTTGAAGTTCATTGTTTTATAAATTACAAAAATATTTTCTTTAATTTTCACTTAAATGTCTCCTAGTTCGTAAATGCAGTAAATTTGGACCAGATTATCATATTTTGACCTTTAAATTACCCGATAACATTAGTGTTCTTCATTTAAATACGCTCCGTATTGGAAAATTGAATTCAAGATGCAAGATCCATCAAAATCCACGGATACTATATGCATAAATTTTATAATAAGGCATAAGTATCACTATTACTTCTCAGATAATTAGTCAGTGTTGTATTTTATGTAAAAATTAGTGTCGTGACTTACATTTTTCCAGTGGCGAGAGATATAAAAGCCTCAGAGCTGTGACACTTCTATGATATCTGCTACTATAAATAAAATCTACGCAAAACTATCAACTAAGGCTTCTTTAAATACGGAAAATTACGGCGATTCAATACTTCGTGGTAACCTCCACGCGCGCCTGCGCACACGACCCCGTTAAAAATCAATTTCTGACACCCACATATCAGCAAATTGTTTATTTAATATAACAACAATTTGCCGTGCATTTACTCATAGCACCGATTTTTATTACGTTCGCGTTACTTCCAGACCAAAAAAACTCGGTTAAAATCACAAGTACACGCCACTGTCGTAATAATGTGGTGTCTTAATTTTGAAAAAATCATAAAAGTGTGCACTAATTGCTAAAATTTTTCGTATTCCTTTTGGGAGCAGCAACCACCAAATTACAGTTTTGTCGTAAGCAACCAGAAATAAATCTGCTAGAAAAATAATCGCCCAAAGCGTTTTTCTAGCAAAAAGCTACTTGCTTTATTTGAGTGATCTAGTAGGCCCTGAAAGAAAGACTAAAATCTGCGGTTTTTCAGGCGAGCCAACGCGTTTTAGTTAAAAAATCAAACATCGCACAACTACATTTTACAGTCGGGGTTAGCGACAGTTAAAAGCAAGCCAAATACTTTACTTACATGTTCTAAAATGTACAATAACTTATTTTTAAAAGGAGGTACACTAATAACACTGAGGGACGTGAGGATCCTCTTCCTCTCTTATTGATCGTGACGTCACACTGGCGCGTCGCGCACGCGCACTAGATGGGGCGCAGAGAGCATTGCGATAGGTCAAGTTTCATTAATAAATGACGATCGGTAGGGATCGGCGCTGTGCCGGCCTACTACTATGCCGCCCCCGCTTGTCGCCCTGAGAGGTTGACAAAGCGGAAATTCCCATCTAGCACTCGCCGAACGGCCTACTTAGTGGCTGATTATCGTCAGGGGTGTATAAGATTGGCAACAATGTACGGTCGGTGTAAGGGGTATGCGAAAACTTTTTCGGTACATTCACTTTCAATTTCAAGAGATTTGCATATTGTAGACTTTTTAATTTTATTATTTCCGTTGTGCAATATTTAACATACCCAAAAAGTCAGTTCAAATTTATAATGTTCACTGGCTCATTGGTATTTCGATTTATTTCAATTTTCAATGTTCAGTGATATTGTCTATTAGTGTCTTCATAAAATTTAAAACGTCAACATTTTTGCATAAAATATTCACCGACGCGCCCTGGTACGTAAGAAACACTGACATATTACGAGACTTACAATACACAAACACTACACAGACAATAAGACAAAACGCGGAGAAACGATTTGACGTAGCCGCTAGACATGACAATCCCCTCCTCAGGCAAGCCGTTGACTACGTACCCGACGTGACCGACAAACACAAAAGACCTAGACACCAACTTTTTGACCCTGGGTGACCACCCCAATGCCCCCCCCCCTGCCCGCTAACCTTTTCTGTTTCAGAGACAGCCAGGATCAAGAAACGAAGACAACGACACACACACACACACACACACATACACACCCCCCATACCCTCCTTACCCCTCCCCTCCCGCGCTAGCCTAAGGGCCACCTTAGCAAAGCGCATCCCAGGCTGCATAGCCGCACTACCCTACCCAACCATACCACACATAAACATGACACTACCCCCGGGGTTTACACAGACGAGCCGGCGAAGCAAGAAGAGCGCCAGAAGAAAGGGCCCTAGCCGGCTATTGTAAGTCTCGTAATATGTCAGTGTTTCTTACGTACCAGGGCGCGTCGGTGGCCGTGCGGGGTAGACGACGGATGGGGCCCACCTACGAAGGCTGTCCAGGCCTACATGAGATGAGGCAGGATAAAGAGGGATAATCCCCCTCGATCCCAAATCATTGAGGCCAATTTCTAGCCATAGAATAATGGCGCGCGCGGCGCATAAAATATTAAATAATTTTTTGCTTCAATTACGTAACTTAATGCCAAAGCTAGGAGGTAAAGCAAAAACGGAATTTACGCATATTTATTTCGTCGTTTGACAAAGACTATCCCCCCTTTTCGCGATTGACAACATCCAATGGAATCCACTTGATATGTTGATCAGTCCATTAGAAAGAGCCTAAATCTATCACTTTTGTAGATATTTTGTCCTTATATCATATCAGAATACCTACGGGATATTACACCTACTGGAATGAAAATCTTCCCAATTTTTTACACACAAAAGCAATTTAAGGAGATATGTTACACTGGTTGTCGATGTTCATAGCTATTTTTGTAATTTCAGTAACAAATAAATGAAAATTTCTGTTCCCCAGACTTACTTTATTATCAACGTTATGGCAAATCAGAATTCGATCCAGTGAGAATTATATGAAGCCGCCAACTAAAAAAATTTCACAGAATTGTAAAAAATTCGACGTCTGTCCTAGGTTATTTCGCATTACACATTTACCACATTCATCATTTCTCACGAAAAATTCCTCGTCTCAGTGGGCTACAAGAACCCAGAAAATAACGACCCAAAACCAGGCAAATGGGTGCGGACAGCATCGTGATATTTTAAATTAAAAAAATCACAACAATTCAAGAAATTGAGTCAAGGTCGCCAGTTAGCAGCATAAAATCAAGGTAACTATTTATAAATAACTACGAAAAATCCACTAATTCGCCCAAATCAAACCCTATTTGCGCGTTTTTGAATCGCGGTTTTATTTTTAGAACCGCATTTTGCCCTGTCATTTCTTGGAGGTTTGTCAAATTTTGGCACTGTGGGAAGGTGGTGTGAATACGGAAAATGTCCTTAAAGCCTAGGCGGGTGGATTTTAACGCCACTTGGGGCGCCATAAGGGAGACGATAAAGGGAGTAATAACTTTGGATCAAGTCGCCAGGACCGTCTGGAACGACAGATTTTCGTAAGTTCTAGGTTATGTTAACTGTCATTCTTTGCTACATTTTTGATAAATCACCGTCGATTCCACATTTACCACACTATTTGTAAACATCCGATTTAAATAACTCTTATCTGTACACTTAATCAGCTTTGTTGTCTGTGGAATTCCTAAACAAAATGTTCAGTAAACGTTTTCTTTATTTTTTTGCCGATATTAAAATTTAATACTAAACATTTGTCAGAGACGTCTATTCGCTATGCGTCGCCCACCCGGAACCCATGGCGGACCGCCTTTACGCCGAAACCAAGCAGTATCTCATCGATCACGTGGCCAAACTGCTTAACAAGGTCCAGGAGGACGGTGAGCACAACTTGGTGAAGAATTACTTCCTGTATTGGTCTCAGTACTCCGTCGGCAGCCAATACCTGCACAGCCTTTACCTGTACCTGAACCAGCAGCACATCAGGATACAGAAATTGTCCGACGCAGAAATTATCTACGGGAGCTCGGATGCGTCCACCGGTAAGTACGAGCGGCTGATTTATGAATTTATGTTTTTGCGAGTATCAAAAGTTACCAGCTGTGACTTCATAACCTCATTTTTCTATAATTAGGTCCACGAAATGAACTGTCGAAAGGTCACGGCCTACAGTGTTTCCTAATCGATTGTCTTTTGTTTCCTGTTAATTTGCATTTGTTATAATAGACACCATGCCACTATCTAACCTCGATTGTGATATTTTATGGTTGTTTATTTCGTAAATATTTAGCAGGCTTATTAATTATTTTGTCAAAACCAGTTTGTACTCACACGTTTCTAAATGCTTCTTATTTATAATTTAGATTTGTATTGTTTATATTTTCATAAAAAAAATAGACTGTCTTATGTCTATGACTTCATAACCTATTTCTTTTGTAATTAGGTCCACAAAATGAACTGTCAAAAGGTCAGAGGCTACTATGTTTCCCAATTGATGGTCTTTTGTTTCTCGTTAATCTGCATTTGTCATAATAGATGTAATTTTTTTCATTTACAAGAAACAGATACTGTTTTTAAATTTTTTTTTATATATTAAAAACGAACTGAATTTTTGCCATATCTTTTTCTCTTATGAAAAATAGAGCCTCACGATTAGTTTTTTTTTTTAAGTCGACATCAACGAATAATTCTTTGCATATAATTCAATCGGGTGTTATCATGGTTACGGGATAAATTTTATTTAGAAAATCTGATGGTTTGTCGTGACGCAGGAGAGCAGATGGAGATCGGTGAGCTGGCGCTGGAGGTTTGGCAGTCGGGAATGATCGCCCCGCTCGGCCAGAGGCTGGTCAAGCTGCTCCTAGAGGCTATCGACCAGGATAGGGCGCAGCAGCCGCTCAGCGTCCCCATCGAGGCTGTACGGGGCACCATCCTCAGTTTCGTCGAGGTACGGAATAAATTTTGCTTTTTTAAGTTTAAGTGTAAGAGCTTTCCGTCGTAGGTCCAGGGTTATAGGAAAAAGGGCCAGCTGCAGCTCTACCAGGAGCTGTTCGAGGAACCCTTCCTCAACGCCAGCGGGGAAAATTTCAAGCGGGACGCGGCTCGGCTCTTGCAGGAGAAAGACGTCAGTTTGTACATGGAGCGGGTGAAGGCGAAAATCGAGGAGGAACTGTTCAGGGCACGCAGATTTCTACACTCCAGCTCGTTACCGAAGGTAAGCGTCGAAATAACCCCGCGGTGAAACGGATTCATCCCATTTAAACCCCCGCAGGTGTCTCACAGGTGCGAGACGCACATGGTGGCGGAACACCTGCAGTTCCTCTACAGCGATTGCATGAACATGGTGCAGGGCGAGAGGAAAAAGGACCTCTCCAACATGTACGACCTGCTGAAGAGCGTCCAGAATGCCATGGTCGTGCTCGTCGATACCGTGCTCGACCACATCAAGACGCAGGGCCTCACGGTAAGTCCACATTGATTTTTCCACGATTAAACTCCAGCGTTTATGTGTGTTTTGAAACCCTTTACGATTCATTTTTACACGCGAATTAAGTCTTTCAACATTAGAATGTACATTGGCCACTGTATCAACGTTTAGATTATACAATTTTTTAAATTACTTGTTTTTAAACAAAAAAAATCACGAACTACTTGTGATACAATTTTTTGGGGATAGATGGCGCTGTTGCGGTTGAATTTGACAGTTGTGGTAGAAATTTCTATTCACAGATGGCACTGTTACAGTTGTGATATCAATGTTTTGGACAGATGGAGCGGTTGTAGTTGAATTTGACAGTTGTGATGCACTTTTTAGGCTTAAAAGTTGCTGTTGTAGTTGAATTTGACAGTTGCAGTACAATTTTGACAGATGGCGCTGTCTTTATTTTGACAGTTATCGAATGACTTTTTAGACGTGCTGTTTCTCTGGGAAAACACCACCGATTCAATTTAAAAACTTCAACAACAGCGTATTCTTAAAAAACCGTAAAGAAACCGGCGCTGTGACGTCTTTTTACATTTCAGGCCATCGGCAACCTTCAGGGCGAGAACATCCACATCAACTTCGTGGAGAACCTGCTGACGGTCTACAAGAAGTACAAGCAGCTCATCCAGGAGGTGTTCAAGTCTGACCAGAACTTCATGGGGGCGCTGGACAAGGCGTGCAGCTCTGTCATCAACCACAGGCCCAACCAGGGCAGGTCGCCGTGCCGGAGCCCCGAGCTGCTCGCCAAGTACTGCGACACGCTGCTGAAGAAGTCCAGCAAGGGGATCAGCGAATCCGAGGTAGGACGGGTCGAGCCGTTTCTATTTGACTTGACTTTTTTTTAATTATTATTATTAAGGACAAATTCTATTTACTTATTTATTCATTAGGGCTGGGAGAACAAAGGCTATTTTTTTTTCCCGGAATCTTTAGGCACCCAGAAAGCATTATGAAAAAGTTTGCAGGATTTAAAAATACAAAAAGTAACCAGTAAAATATAAAAACGTACTTAAAGTAATTGGTCCGCTAACAGTAAACTTTCAAAAATGGCTTTTCCCCTTCCACCGTTGGCCTTTGACCCCTGACCATTGACCTTTGGTCCTCAATCATTGACCTTTGGTCCTCGATCATTGACCTTTGGTCCTCGATCATTGACCTTTGGTCCTCGATCATTGACCTTTGGTCCTCAATCATTGACCTTTGGTCATCAATCATTGACCTTTGATCCTCGATCATTGACCTTTGATCCTCGATCATTGACCTTTGGTCCTCAACCATTGACCTTTGGCTCCCGATATTTGACCTTTAGCACCCGACTGTCGACCTTCAGCCATTAAGGTTTGACTTTTTGATGCGTTCCAACGAATCCGGTGGCTCCGTATTAATTTAGGTCCAATTCAACCGTGTCCCGTCCTTCATGAAATTTCTGCCCCGTATTTTATGAATGAACCCTTTGTAGTCGTTCCCGCCGTTTTCAGGTGGACGAGAAGCTGGCGGAGAGCATCACGGTCTTCAAGTACATCGACGACAAGGACGTTTTCCAGAAGTTCTACTCGCGCATGCTGGCGAAACGCCTCATCCACCAGCAGACGCAGAGCATGGACGCCGAAGAGGCGATGATCAACAGACTGAAACAGGTGAGCGACGATCCGTAAATTTTTTTAACGTCCCAAAGTGTCCGATATATCTGACTTGTTTGATTTGTGCGGCGGAAGGTAACGTTGATTATTATTACGCGGCGAGGTTGTAGTATGTGTATTGTCTCTGGAAATTTTCTCAACACTTTTTATTTCTCGCACGACAAGGCGTGCGGCTACGAGTTCACGAGCAAACTGCACAGGATGTTCACCGACATGTCGGTCAGCTCGGGCCTGAACAACAAGTTCAACACCTTCCTCAAGCAGGACAACGTCGACCTCGGCATCAACTTCAGCATATACGTCCTGCAGGCGGGCGCGTGGCCCCTGGGCCAGGCGGTGGTCACGCCGTTCGCCCTGCCCCAGCAGCTGGAGAAGAGCGTCCAGATGGTGGGTATTTTTTTTCTTATGCGACGCAGGGCGTGTGGTGATACGGTCGTTTCGCAGTTCGAGAAGTTCTACCACAACCGGTTCAACGGGCGCAAGCTGACGTGGCTCCACCACCTGTGCCAGGCTGAGCTGAAGCTGGGTTACCTGAAGAAGCCGTACGTCATGACGGTGCAGACCTTCCAGATGGCCATCCTGCTGCTGTTCGAGAACAGCAACGCGCTGACCAGCAAGGAGATCAGGGAGACGCTCCAGCTGAATCCGGAGCAGTTCCAGCGGCACGCCGTCAGCCTCATCGACTCCAAGCTGCTGCTCGCCGACAGTGAGGTTGTTTATTTGTTTTTTATTTGTTTATTTTAGGGATTTTGGAAGCGTCTGTCCTCGGATAAATATTTTCCGTGCGCGCACAGAAAATACGTTTTTAACACTTCTACATATTTCAGGATTCGTCTAAACTGCGGTAGTCCTCTTGAATATACTAAAAATATCATTAGAAACACTTAAAAGTCACTTAAAAGGGACCAACCAGTTAACATACATATCACGGAAAGTACCAGAAATAAAACTATTCGCTATTCAATACAAGCGATTGTTATTAACTAAAAAAAAAATTTATAAATTCAATGTTCTCTTGATTTTTGCGACTAGCGTTGCGGTAAACACGAAGTCATTGCTGTGAAGGTCATTGTGTACAAAGTGGTCCAATTAAATGGGTCTTTAAATAGCAATTTGGTCAACTTGCCTGAATTTTTGATTTGAGGTATATAATAACGACAATTGACAGTAATTTTTTATTTCAACCCCCGGTCAGGGGTGAAAAAATATAAAATAAAGGGGTTTTTCAAGATTACTCAAAAGGGGTAAGAGCCAGAAAAAAAAGTTTTTTATAAAAGTTGTAAAGCATAAAATTCCACATAAAAATGGTCCATTGACTTTTTCTTGTAGTATTAAAATTAACAGAGTTAGGGTGGCTAGAAGTTAAGGTAGCGCAGTAAATGAAATTTGTTATACATGTAAATCAAAAAGTAATTCATTTCAGTTTGAAACTTGGTTTAATCGTCAGTTTAGGCAAAAAGAAATAATATTTCCCAAAAAGTATCGGTTTAAAACAACAAGACCATTGTTTAAACAATGATTATAATGTAAAAATTACCAAAAAATTGAGTTTTTAACCGGAATAAAAAAGCGCTCACCAACAGAAGTTTTTGCTTTTGTTTATACTTGTAGGTTTTCAAAAAACGCTTCATTTGAGACCTGCTAAATTAAAATCCATTAACAATTTGTTTAAATAATTGCACAAAACCAGCGAAATTTGAATTTGCTATAAATAGAAGAAAAGAGCATAAATCGTCCCTAACTGCAGTAAAAGTTGTATTTTGTTACATTTAAGAAACCCTGAAAATTTGGTGATAAAATATTTATTTGTTTACGAGTTTTTGCATTTGTTTATTAGAAATAGCATTTTTTCAATTGCAAAAACGCGGTTGTTAGCGTTTTAATAAAGGCCCTTATGAGGGCTCATTTGTTTCGTCTTGACTTATATTTTCAAGATATGCAATTGGAAATTTTAATTTCATAGGCTAACCTCGTCAAAACAGCACATAAACAAATAATGTAATTTATTTACAAGGTTTTTCGTTAATAACTTTGCGAAAATTGAATATTTTTTAAAGCCGCTTTGATATTCTTAATCCTGATAATTTTTCACGAATTTAAAAAAAAACATTGTGCTAGGAGCACTTTTAGCCGAGATAGCGTTTTTCTTTTAAATTCATTACTTGTTTATTTATAAACATTAAGACTTGAAATTTCGGGAATAAATCAATGGACCCTTAAACTTCATAATAACGGTTAAAGATTTTGAAAAAGATGCATTTTATAGTAATTTTTAACCCTTTAAAAAACGTCCTTGAATACATGGTGGGGGAAATAAGACAGAAAAGTTCCGAGACTTCAAATCTTACCTGCCCGAAAATTTTGCGATATCCGGTAATTGTGGACCAATTTTAACGTTTTTTTTTTAAATCTGGGGTAGGGCATGAAAATAATAATGGACTACACTGTCCATTTTGCAATAATTAATTATTAATTTGTTATAAACTATTGTAAAAAAATTTTTTTTTGCATTTTTTTGAGAAATAATTTTTCACAATGGTACCAATAAACTATTTTCTTAAAAAACAATATTTTTATGTAAAAAAATTCAGGAAATAACATTTTTTATGTATAAAGTTTATCTTAATGAGAATCGAGTTTTTGGATGTAATATAAAACAGGTAAGTAAATTAAAACACTCGATTCTCATTAAAATAAACTTTATACATAAAAAATATATCATTTCCTGAATTTTTTTACATAAAAATATTGTTTAAGAAAATTGTTTATTGGTACCATTGTGGAAAATTATTTCTCGAAAAAATGTTAAAAAAATTTTGTTTCACAAAATTAATAGTTTATAACAAATTAATAATTATTGCAAAATGGACCGTGCAGTTGTTATTTTCATGCGCTGCCCCTGATTAAAAAAAAACCTTAAAATTGGTCCACAATTACCGGAGATATCGCAAAATTTTCGGGCAGTTAAGATTTGAAGTCTCGGAACGTTTCTGTCTTATTTCCCTCACCATGTATTCGAGGACGTTTTTTAAAGGGTTAAAAATTACTATGAAATGCATCTTTTTCGATATTTTTAACCGTTATTATGAAGTTTAAGGGTCCATTGATTTATTCCCGAAATTTCAAATCTTAATGTTTATAAATTAACAAGTAATGAATTTAAAAGAAAAACGCTATCTCGGCTAAAAATGGTCCTAGAACAATTTTTTTTTAAATTCGCGAAAAATGACCAGGATATATGACCAGGAATATCAAAGCGGCTTTAAAAAATATTCATTCTTCGCAAAGTTATTAACGAAAAACCTTATAAACAAATTACACTATTTGTTTATACACCGTTTTGAGGAGGTTAGCCTATGAAATTACAATTTTCGATTGCATATCTTGAAAATATAAGTCCAGACGAAACAAATGAGCCCTCATAAGGCCCTTTATTAAAACGCTAACAACCGCATTTTTGCAATTGAAAAAATACTATTTCTAATAAACAAATGCAAAAATTTGTGAACAAATAAATATTTTTTTACCAAATTTTCAGGGTTTCTTAAGCGTAACAAAATACAACTTTTACTGCAGTTAGAGACGATTTATGCTCTTTTCTTCTATTTAGAGCAAATTCAAATTTTGCTGGTTTTTTGCAATTATTTAAACAAATTGTTAATGCATTTTAATTTAGCAGGTCTCAAATGAAGCGTTTTTTGAAAACCTACAAGTATAAACAAAAACAAAAACTTCTGTTGGTGAGAGCGTTTTTAATACAGCTAAAAAACCAAATTTTTGGTAATTTTTACATTATAATCATTGTTTAAACAATGATCTTGTTGTTTTTAACCGATACTTTTTGGGAAATATTATTTCTTTTTGCCTAAACTGACGATTAAACCAAGTTTCAATCTGAAATGAATTTTTGTATAAATGTTTTTTCATTTACTGAGCTAAGGGATGATTTCAGAAATTTTAAAAAATCATAAGCAGAAAAATGAATAAATTTTATATTTGTTTTTTTTTTCAATCCACTCTAAAAAATGTAAACTTTCCTTTCAGAGAAATAGATATATTTTTTAATTTTGGACAAAAAAATATATCACGCGAGTGCGTCGTATATTTCATTTTGCAACTAAGGCTAAAAAATGAAACTTTCCAAGTTGCAAATTTGAAATTTAAAAAAGACTGATGAAATCTACCATGACAAAAATTCTGTGCGATTGTGGAAGATCCTCGGGATCGTCCAGACTAATAATTAGTTAATTTGTTTATAAGGCCATAACTTGTAAACTATTCGACTTACCGATTCCAGATTTCACGTGAGTTATTAGTCAGTGATCAGGAATGAGAGGATGCGACGCCAAAACGTTCTGGCAACAATAACGCAATTTATAAATGTTTAATTCAAAAGTCGTAAATAAACTTCTTCTGTTTATAACTTCTGATCTAATCAACATTTTTTGAGGCTCGAGGGCTAGTTTCGTAGGTCTTTTGAAGACGAAAAAAAAGTACTCTACTGTTTTCTCGTGGAAATGAACAGAAAAAAGTTATAAGCGAAAAACGTGAATTTACGTAAAATTACGAGTGAATTATGTTCCTCTCTAGGAACTGACGCCGGAGACGACGCTGAGGCTGAACACGGACTACTCGAACAAGCGCACCAAGTTCAGGATCACGGCGGCCGTGCAGAAGGAGACACCCCACGAGGTGGAGCAGACGATGAACTCGGTGGAGGAGGACAGGAAGATGTACCTGCAGGCCGCCATAGTGAGGATAATGAAGTCGCGGAAGGTACTCAAGCACAACCTGCTAATACAGGAGGTGAGTCGTGTTGCATTTGTCTCTTCTCTTGGTTTGGGGAATAATTTTATTTAAATTCCAAATGTGGTGGTGCGATTTTAAAACGTTTGAAGTTATGTTTGTTTTTTCATAGTATTTTATGTCTTGAAAAGTGTTTAAGAGGGCTCTATAGCAAATAGCCAACCAGCAAGACATTTTTATAGATTTTATTACACAGTTTGTCTAAATATGAATTAATGGGCAAATAACAGACTTTCCCCCTTTTAAAGCAGATTTTCTATAAAATGGAGTTTGAAACTCGAATAACTTTTTGGTGTAACGAAATTTGTAATTTGCAATTTCACTTGTTCAAATGCGTCAAACTCCAATTGTGATGGTGCGATTTTAAAATGTTTGAGGTTATGTTTGTTTTTTCATAGTATTTTATGTTTTGAAAAGAGAGCTCTATAGCAAATAGCCAACCAGCAATACATTTTTATAGATTTTATTACACAGTTTGTCTAAATATGAATTATTGCAAAAATTCAAAGTACTTTTTGGTGTAAAGCAATTTGTAATTTACGATGCCGCTTGTTCGAATGCGGCAATTTGACATTTTTGCTATTCATTCACGATTGCTAGTAAGTTAAATCAGGGTAACTGTCAAATGTCAAAAAGTCATCATTTATAAGCGAAATTTTCTGTTTACTGCAGGAAAACAACTGTTTACGGAACTTTATCAATTTGGTATTCCATTTTTTTTACATTAAATGAACGTGTGATCCATTAAAACGTTCCCTTATATTGTGATCCTTTTTCTGTTCGCAGGTGTACGCCCAGTCGAAGGTGTCGTTCGCGCCTAGTGTACAGTTAATAAAGAAATGCATCGAATCGTTGATCGACAAACAGTACATAGAAAGAACTCCTCATTCTAGTGAAGAGTATAGTTATGTAGCTTAATGCCGTTCGATACTAACTCGGAACGAGTCAACGACTGATTGCTCGTTCGGTCGTTCTGGCTGGAGTACAGAACGAGAGACGTCTGAAGGAACTTAACACCATTTTAAGGTCGTTTTGAGGAAATTAATTTTGTGTTCGATACCCCTGGGAGTTTTTAACGTGACGTTCTCTTTATTTTTAGTAAACTGCAGCCCCAACGACGACTTTTGTATAGGAAATTTTAACGGTGATGCAAAATGAGTTTGACCTGTTTATTTTTTGATCAACTTTTTTTTTGTGATTAATTATTTATTATTTATGATATCGTGTACATTATAATAAATAGAGTTTTTCTATTTTCTACGATCTTTCTGTTCTACTAACCGATTTGTCGTTCAGGATCGAGTTTGATTTTTTGAATAAATTTGCGCGGTTAAGTTAATTTTAAAGAAATCAAGATCACTCGTGTCAAAAAAGTAAGGAGTTATTTTTCTGGAAATATTTCGTCACTGGTTTGGGACGCACTATGTATATATCTCTTGTGAAGGCAGCTATGTTGTGTCTTGTACCTCAAACCAATATTAAGCCACCGATGGCAAAAAAGTTACGGCAATTTTTAAATTTTTTTTTAATGCTTGTGCAGAGTTGTAACAATTCTTTAAGTGGTAAATATGCTTAACAAATCTAAATAAGCTTAGTTTTATTGTTCCAATGTGTGTTTTTCATGTATTTGTCATGAGTAGTTCTAGATCTTTTACTGGGACACAATTTAAATTCTTGACCTACTGTACATTAGAACTACTCGCGAAGACGGCAAGCAATCTTTAAGTATCGCCACTAAACGAAGCTGATTTTTTGTAAAATTACTAGTCGCTAAAGTTTCTACAGTGCTGAATGTTGAAGAACCACTATTTTCTGCATAAATGACTTATAATCTAGACTTCTTTTCTCGTTCTTTTTTTTTATTATATAGACTTCAAAATCTTCTGTTTTTTCTTTGGTGGGATATTTTCAACCTCAAATAATTTGATTCAGACATTTGGTGTAGTGTTATTTAAATTCTTGACCTACTATACATTAGAACTACTCGCGAAGGCGGCAAGCAATCTTTAAGTATCACCACCAAACAATGTTGATTTTTTTTGAAAAAAGACTACTGAAGCTCATGGAGAGTTAGAAATTGGAAGACCATTTTCTACAGTAGTGATTTAAATCTAGACCTTAGTTTTTTTAAATAATTTTTACAGAAGTGACTTAAAATAAAAATTTTGTTTTTTTGTTATATTTCTTTGGTGTGATATTTTCAGCCTCAATTTGATTAAGATTCAGACATTTGGTGTAGTGTTATTTAATTTTTGACCTACTGTACGTTAGAACNAAGATCACTCGTGTCAAAAAAGTAAGGAGTTATTTTTCTGGAAATATTTCGTCACTGGTTTGGGACGCACTATGTATATATCTCTTGTGAAGGCAGCTATGTTGTGTCTTGTACCTCAATAGTAAGCCACCGATGGCAAAAAAGTTACGGCAATTTTTTTATTTTTTTTTTTTTAACGCTCGTGCAGAGTTGTAACAATTCTTTAAGTGGTAAATATGCTTAACAATTCTAAATAAGCTTAGTTTTATTGTTCCAATGTGATTTTTTCATTTATTTGTCATGAGTAGTTCTAGATATGCTACTGGGACACAAATTAAATTCTTGACCTACTGTACATTAGAACTACTCGCGAAGACGGCAAGCGATCTTTAAGTACCGCCACTAAACGAAGCTGATTTTTTGTAAAATTACTAGTCGTTACTGAAGTTCCTACAGTTTTGAAAGTTGAAGAACCGCCATTTTCTGCATAAATGACTTAAAAATCTGACCTTAATGTTCTTTTTTTATTATCTATAGACTTCAAAATCTCGTGTTTTTCCTGTTATTTTTCTTAGGTGTGATAATTTCAACCTCAAATGATTTGATTCAGACATATTTGGTGTAAATTCTTGACCTATTATACATTAGAACTACTCGCGAAGGCGGCAAGCAATCTTTAAGTATCACTACCAAACAATGTTGATTTTTTTGAAAAAAAGCTACTGAAGCTCATGGAGAGTTAGAAATTGGATGACCATTTTCTACAGTAGTGATTTAAAAATCTAGTAGACCTTAGTTATTTGTTTTAATAACAGAAGTGACTTAAAATAAAAATTTTGTTTTTTTTTGTTATTTTTCTTTGGTGTGATATTTTCAACCTCAATTTAATTAAGATCCAGACATTTGGTGTAGTGTTATTTAAATTTTGATCTACTGTACATTAGAACTATTCGCGAGGACTGCAAGCAATCTTTAAGTATCACTACCAAATAATTTTGTTGAAAAATTACTTTAGACATTACTGAAATTCAGACATTATTAAAAATTGGAAAACCAATATTTTCTACAAAAGTGGCCTGAAGTTTTAGATCATATTGTTTTATTCTGTAGTAATTACTTGCAAATTGAAGACTTTTTTTTGTTGCATTTTTTTGGTGTTATATATTTTACCTCAAATAATTTGATTCAGATTCAGAGATTTGATGTAGTGTTATTTAAATTCTTAGCCTACTGTACATTAGAACTACTCATGAAAACTGCAAACCAAATGATGCTGATTTTTTTGGGTAAAATTAGTTTTGAACGTTACAGAGTGCTACAAAATTAGAAAACAACCGTTTTCTATAAAATTGAAATCTAGATCATTTGTTTAATTTTTCTTGCTTTGTTATATATCCAGCATCAGTAAAGAATTTAAATAACGCCACAAATATCTGATCAAACTATTGCTACAGATTCAGATATTTTTTCTTGATTTAAATTCTTGACCTACTGTACATTAGAACTACGCGCGAGGATTGCAAGAAATCTTTAAAAAATATCATCACTAAACGAAGCTGATTTTTGTTGTAAAATTACTTGTAGACATTACTGAGGTTCATACAGTGTTAAAAGTTGAGGAACCGCCATTTTCTGCAGATATTACTTAAAAATCTAGACTTTTAACGTTTTTTTATTCTCTATAGATTTCAATTAAAAATCTGTTTTTTTCTGTGTTTTTTCTTTGGTGGGATATTTTCAACCTCAAATAATTTGATTCAGACATTTGGTGTAGTGTTATTTAAATTCTTGACCTACTGTACATTAGAACTACTCATGAAAACTGCAAACCAAATGATGCTGATTTTTTTGGGTAAAATTGTTTTTGAACATTACAGAGTGCTACAAAATTAGAAAACCACCGTTTTTTTATAAAATTGAAATCTAGATCTTGTTTAATTTTTCTTGATTTGTTATATTTTCAGCATTAGTAAAGAATTTAAATAACGCCACAAATATCTGATCAAACTATTGCTACAGATTCAGATATTTTTTCTTGATTTAAATTCTTGACCTACTGTACATTAGAACTACGCGCGAGGATTGCAAGAAATCTTTAAAAAATATCATCACTAAACGAAGCTGATTTTTGTTGTAAAATTACTTGTAGACATTACTGAGGTTCATACAGTGTTAAAAGTTGAGGAACCGCCATTTTCTGCAGATATTACTTAAAAATCTAGACTTTTAACGTTTTTTTATTCTCTATAGATTTCAATTAAAAATCTGTTTTTTTCTGTTATTTTTCTTTGGTGTGATATTTTCAGCCCCAAATAATTTGATTCAGATATTTAGTATAGTGTTATTTAAATTCTTGACCTACTGTACATTAGAACTACTCATGAAAACTGCAAACCAAATGATGCTGATTTTTTTTGGGTAAAATTAGTTTTAAATGTTACAGAGTGCTACAAAATTAGAAAACAACCATTTTCTATAAAATTGAAATCTAGATCATTTGTTTAATTTTTCTTGCTTTGTTATATATCCAGCATCAGTAAAGAATTTAAATAACGCCACAAATATCTGATCAAGCTGTTGGTACAGATTCAGTTATTTTTTCATGATTCAAATTCTTGACCTACTGTACATTAGAACTACTCGTGTAGACTGCAAATATTTTTATGTCGCGACTATACTTTTTTATATCATATTTTTTATTATAAAGCTACCTGTAAACGTAACTAATACACATACAGAGTGTTACAAAATTAAAGACCCACAATTTTCTATAGAATTTACTTAAATATTTAGATCTTGATGTTTTTTTAAATACATTTTCGTTGGTGTTCCACTTTCGACATAAATTTAATTCAGACTCAGATATTTGTTGTGATCCGAATTAAGTCCTTGATCTACTGTACAATAGAACTACTCGTGAACACTGCAAGCTGTTTTTTTAAAATATCACCATCAAATTATTCCGATTTATTATTATGAAATTACCGATAGATATTAGTGAAATTGAAGAAACATACTTCTATAGAAATTACTTAAAAATTAGGATCTTGTTTTTTTAATGACAAATTCTTGACCTACTGTACAATAAAACTACTCATGAAAATCGTAAGCGTTTATGTTTTACCATCAAACAAAGCTTTATTGTTGTCAAATATCCAAATGACACTACAAACCTCACACAGAGCGTTACAAAATTGAGAGAACACCAAATAATCCATATTTTAGTGCATTTTTCCGCTGTTTGCTTGCGTTTGCGGTTTAAAAAATTGTTACAACCAAAAAGCCATTTATCATTGTTAAAAAATTAATTTTCCTAATTGTTATCGTTCCTTTTTAATTCTTGCATGACTTTTCGTTATAATAATGATCACATGTACCATACTTGTATATAATTGATTTAACTTTAAGGAATAATTGTTGTTTAACAATTACAATTTATATCCAATTGAAAATAAATGTTTTTTAATAAAACTTACCCATTTTTATTTATCGAGATTGTGTTTCCGAGAGAATCGTTTGCCTGGAAAAGTTGTGGGAAAATAATACACAGTCTATGTTATAGTAAGGCTTTTCTATTGCACATATTTCGTAGACTTTTAGAAACACTGTATATAAAGTGGCGAACGAAGTAACATTAATATTTATCGTCCACTGCGTCATCTCAGATTGAATAACGAGTATTTTAATTTTGTTATTTTAAAGTATCTCTACCGTTCTTCGTTTTCTATATGACCTCTCGATGGTTTTAGGGTGAGGAGATCAGGGTCTATAGATATATCGTTTGGTCCGGGTGAGATCAGTGTCATGTTGGTGTCTATCCTCTCTGTTAGGTCTTCGCTCAGCAAGATGTTGTCGTCCATAAGGCTGGTCTGCATAGAATTTGTTATTCTATCTACAAAGAAAAAAAATGAAAAAAAAAGTAATACCAACATTTTTACGGGAAGTTTATAGATCTTTTTTGTTATTCTTCTTTAAAGTGTTATTTCGGCGTCAAATAATGTTATTCGGATTCAAATATTTGTTGGGATCTGATTTTGATTATTAACCTACAGTACAATAGAACTACACATCGAAGTTGTTAACTTTTGTTTTATTCTTTATTTATGGGTATTATGCCACCTATGATAAAATATGAAATAAATAATTTCACCAAAAATGAAAATAAATTTGGCTAATCAGAAATCTCACCTGAAAAATGCAAATAATTACAAAATCCGCATCACTACCCTAAAGTTTTAAATGGTTGGAAAAAAAGGGGAATTTTTTTAGGTTAGGTACATTTTGTTATTGTGAAGTCTCGAATCTGTCAAAGTTTGTGAACTGTGCCAAATAAAGAGAATTTGCTGCAATATGTAGGGCGTATGGTACTAATGAATCTATTTATTTGAATTCAATGGTTACCTACCTGCAATCAAGATGGTTTCATTGATTCTATCGCCCAGTTGATTTTCCACTGGGCAATCCTGCTCGACGCTCACAGTTTGGACGTCCATGTTGAGCGAAGTCGAGTGACCGGTAAACGTGATTGGCCAGTCCAACCCCAGAAATAAGTTCGAAGTGCCGCCTTGGTCTGTCGACGAGAAGTTCAGCATGGGACTCTGGAGTGGCGCCGAACATCCTGAGAGTGAAAAAGATATATATTCAGAAGTCATTTTTGTCTAAGCGCCGAAGTTTCGTTCGTCACCTGTAATTTTTTTAACTTGTCTTTTTTCACATCTACTGATCTAAATCAACACGAGTACGATACCATAGACTTAAATCAAACACCTGTGCATTTGAAGGCCGTTCTGATGGCGTCGAAACTCACCTGGTAAATTCAAGGGGGCGCTGATGCCAGTCGCCTGGACCCCCATGCCCTTGTTCACAGTTTTCTCCTGTTTCCGCCATTTGGCCCTACGATTCTGGAACCAAACCTGGACCCTGGCCTCCGTGAGGTCGATCCTCAGGGCCAGCTCCTCCCTGAAGAAGACGTCGGGGTAGTGGGTCTTGTGGAAGGCGCGCTCGAGTTCCTCCAGTTGGTAGTTCGAGAAAGTCGTTCTGAAAACATAACTTTGAAATAAAAAAATATTGCAGACTGCTATGGAAGTTCAACGGAAAATGGTTTGGGAATGACTATCCCGATGACATGGACTGTCAAAATTGCAAAAATCGTTAAAAATTAAACCTATGCCAAATTTGCCGGTATGTTCTGTATTAATGATCGATAATACACCATATATAACAACGTGCAAGGTGAAAAATGTCACATTCGCACTTCGAAAGGTTGAAATGAGGCAATGAAGACTAAGAAATTCAATTTGCGGATAATAAGTACCTACTCGGATATTTGGAATTAGTAAAAAAAAAAAAATAAAAATTGTAGCTAACAAAAAAATTTCAAAATATAGCAAGTACTTTTCTAATGACAAGCTTGGTATAGTTTTGCAATTTAATTATGGCTTGGACTGTCAATGTTATTTAGAGAACGAAATAAAGGAGGATGTTCTAGCACAACTTCACTATTTTAGTAATAACTTGAAAGCGAAAGAAGATATCGACCTCCGGTTTGTGTATTTGTTTTCCTTAATAAATGGTCTATCAATCCACGAAACCCTATATCGTTGCATTAATTTTTTTTTAGTAAACGGAGACAATTACAAAACTTTTCTGATTGGCGTCGTCTACCGTTGCGCAGGAAAATAATAGTTATTCCCATATCATAAATATAAATCTTATTAATAGTTCTTTAAAATGAGCCGTCGTTTCTTGAAATCGATTAAGGCATTCAGAAGTTATGACAATTTAAAAATTTCATGATGGCGTCCTTCATACTGGCGTTGCTATGGTAATAACAAAAAAAAAAGTTCAAACAAAACTTGTGAAGGGTTTAACAGTGAACCGAAAAAGTGCATTTTCAACTTAGGTTATATAAGCGAAATTTCGAAAAAACGATAATTCTCTGTAACACTATAGCTGTTGCGCCCTCTAGCTGTAAAGTTACAAACTTGAAAATCAATTTTTAATAGATTTTTTTACACCATAATCGTAGCACGCCTAGTTTCCTATGTAGCTGCTCCGGATCGTTAATGGATCACCCTGTATAGGCATACAATTTTGAATGTTGTTAGTTTAATATTATTATAAGTGGTGTGATACATAATAAATAATACCAATACACGGAATCACAATGATGTGGAACCTGCATTTTTTTAATATTTACTTGAAATCTTGACATCAAACGTGAATTTGAAAGTTTTCTTAGAAAATGTATATTTAGGTGTCCATATGTTAAGGAAATTTTATTACATTTTGTATATACCACCACTTAGATTAATTGAAGTGAAAAAAAGTTTATATAAACGTAGGTCGAACTATGCTTCGTTTCCGAGATACAGAGTGTTTAAATTTTAATTTTTTATTTATTTTTATGAATTATTTCAGTTTTGAAGATATTGACTCGAAACTTGAAAAACGCTTTGGAGGGATAAATGTGCATTTTTGGCGAGATCCGAATATTTCCACTTGCACCAGTGGCGTTCGTGCGGGAACGCCACAAACTTTTTTAATAAAAAAAATGGGACGCCACTGACTTTTTCTCGTTTCGGGTTTTTTTTTTTTTGAGATCCGCCATCAATTCTGAATGAAATTGGTCCCTTCAATTTTTTTCGTAGGATGTACCGTTTTTGAGGAAAAAAATAAAACACATTTTACTGCTAGTTGTGTATTTTTAATTTCTCTTGATACATTATCTAGTAGGTTGCTGTCAATATTTCTAAATAAAATACAACCATCAAATTTCTAGTCAATATCTTTAAAACTCCCAAATAATTAATAAAAATAAATACAAAATTAAAATTTAAACACTCTGTATCTCAGAAACGAAGTATATTTCGACCTACGTTTATATCAACTTTTTTTTCACAAAATAACTTCGGCAACCACCCCCTAAAATATTATACACTTATTTAGAAACACCCTGTATATTCAGATTGCTACGTTAGTTTAGGTTTTATAACCAAAAATCTAAAAAAATGCGTTTTTTGCATAAAAATGTTTGTAAAAAATTCATTAATGGTAAATTGGAGTAGGAAGCAAAAATAAGTCAAAAATGGTCCATTTTAGAATAAGATATTTTTTTTTTCTTAGAATCACCACAATGTAGTGACAAGCATTGACTTTTTAATCAAATTTAGTAAATGTATAATTTTAATCAGACAAATCGCTAAACACTAAAAAATCCTATGAAGGAATAAGCGAAGCATAAAGATGGTATAATGGCTATAAAACCTTTAAATTCATATGAGTTAGATTTTATGGAATTAATACTTTTTACATGTGGCCCTATATTGATTATAATCATGGGCGTAGCTAGGGAGGAGCAGGGGTATGTACGGCCCGCCCCAGAAAAAAGATCTAATATTATCGTCTATCATATCGGCATATCGGTAAGTCGATGACTGCGTGACCTTTTTTAGAATGAAATCAAAACGCGTTCGGGTTTTTGAAATTTTATTCGGTAAGTCGCTGACTGCGGAAGCCTTTTTTTGGAGGCTGCATAGTGCTTGCCAGCCCTGGGCCCACCCCAAGCAAAAATTCTAGCTACGCCCATGACTAAATGACAATATCCTTTTATTGCGGTCAAGATGACGGTAGCATGAATTCGAAACGAAATATGTAGGTATTGTAATTAACAGATAAAAAATTACCTACCTGTATCTCCGCTGTTTCCTTTTAGAACCAGACGATAAAGTGGATGTGGTTTCGTCTTCATTCGAATTATAGTTTTGCAAGGGGTCAGCGTAGTCTAAAATCAACATGCAAGGTGATATACTTAAGGACATACACAGGGTGTTCCTTAATGATATGCGAATATATCTTGAAAAGTAATATAGCAATCGTTATATTTCAAAAAAAAAACGAATCGATAGGTTTTTTTAATAGCCACAACTTTCTAATTTAACTTTTTCGATTGTAATTGAGTTTTTTTTATTAGCGAAAAACAGTTTTTTTGACTTTTATGAATTCTTTAGGTTAACTTCGCCGTTTATGCGAAACAGGAAAAAACTATCTTAGAATTTTTTTCCTATACACCCTGTTTATACTAAACCTCTAATTGCTTTGTTTAAGGTTTGTATTTTAACGGAATCTCACCCTACGTAACCTCACCCACAGAGGAACGCTTAAAATTGAATTAAAATTATAGTATCCTTTAATTTAATAGATACTGGGCAGAAGGAGGGCCGTAATTCAATTTGTACGTAATTTAATTTTACCAATTTCGAAAGTTTATCACACCCTCAGTCGTTCAAAGACATAAAGCGAAAGGTTCGCATAGTAACGACGCCGATAAAAGTCAAAAGAAGCGAAAAAATCGACAACTCACCGTATTTTTCTTGTTCTTCGGCGTCGTTTTCCTCCTGGGCGAAACTGCTAAGTAGGCTGTTGATCGCGTACCCGGTAGAGGCGCTCAGGTCGTCCATTGTTTCGTTGATGTCGTCGTGGATGTCGCGATTTTTATCCAAATCCATGGCAATGGAGGTGACTCGTTTGAAGCGAAATGTTCCGACGACCTTTGGGGTAAGTACAATCAAAACTTTGCAATTTCATAGTCGTAAAGTACAATATGTAAAGTTAATCCATGATCTAACAGTATACACGGGGGGTGACTCAAGAGTGAGTCGAATTCGATAGGATTTCTTGATTTTCAATACGAAATCAACAACCAACAGTTAGGTAGGTACCTATTTGATTGATATTTGATTTGTTTGCAAACTACCGAGCGTTGTATGTTTGTGTATCTTCATTGTCAGACAGGTCAGAATTAAAATAAAACTGGTCTTTATGTTCGACACAGGATTGATTTGAAAAAACGAGTTTTTTTAATGGGAACTGTAATTGCTAATGATCTAAAAGGATGGAAAGTTATTTTTTGAAGGGCATAAAATACTCTTAACCTTTAAATTGCAGTCTATGTTGAGTGACATCTCATTTTAAAGCTTTTTTAATTCTGTTCACGACAACATACTTTTTAAATTTTGGTTTGGATATGACAATAAAATCATCACTTAAAGAATAATACAAACAATATCAATGAATGAAAGAATGTTATTTTATTAAATGTTCGAATTGGTTTCTCCCCGCTTCCATACATGCAATAATAAAATCTTTGCTCTACTTCCGAACGAACATTTCGAAGCATTTCGGACGTTATATGATGACATTCTTTAAAAATTTCTCAATAAAAAAAATAGATAACCGGGAAATCTGGATGGAAACATGTACGTGAATCTACTGGAAACGAATATCTACCCGATGATTGTGGAAGTACTGGAAAATGACAACGCGTTGCAAGAAGAGGATGCATGGTTTCAGCAAGATGGTGCTCCATCACATTATGCCGTAGCTCTTCGTGATTTTCTTAATCAGAACTTTCCAAATCACTGGATAGAACGCAGAGGTTCAATTGAGTAGCCTCTCAGATCGCCAGATCTAACGCCCTTAGAATGGAATGTTCATTCGGAAGTGGAGCAAAGATTTTATTATTGTATGGAAGCGGAGGTAAACCAATTTGAACATTTAATAAAATAAAATTCTTTCATTCATTGATATATTGTCTTATTCTTTAAGTGATGATTTTATTTCATATCCAAACCACAATTGGTGTCACACAACATAGGGTGCCATTTAAAGTTTAAGGGTATTTTACACTAAAACTTACATCACGCGTCCCCCTTGAAGCGAAAATCGATGTGTCTCAGATATTATTTTGGTGTACATTTAAATTGGTAGCAAAATCCTGCACAAGACACTTATACAAGACTGCTGTGTGTACCTACTGCTGAAATCAGCATCAGGTTTACTGCAAGATTCATTGTGCAATTGTCTTGATCAATGCTTTCAATGGATTTGACTCAGGGCACTTGAGCACAAAGGGGTAAAATTAAAGCCAGTGACTATGTTGCAGACTTACATTAGAATTAAGTAAGACATATTGTACTTGACTTATACTAATTCACCCCTTTGGACTCCAGTACTTTTGGTTAAGTCTGGTGCAAGTATTGTAAAAGTATCTTGCATAAGAAACGATATAAATTTCAGCAATACACACAAAACGATCTGACACAATTTGGATATTTCAAGTAAACTTGAAACAACTTGTATTAGAATTGCACACGATTGTGCTACCAGGGCACTTGGTTTTGGTGCGGATAGTTTGTTTGGTATTCCATCCCTTGAAGATCGAGCTCGAGAACGTAACGTCAATTTTTTTCTAAATATCCTGTAATCCCATTTAAATTTACTCACTCTCTACACGTGTCTTAATGGAACAAAATTCATATTTTTTTTCAGCGATATAAGGTTATACCTGCCTATTTTTTGTCATAGTTGTCAAAAAAAAGTAAAAAATCATCTTTTACAGTCATAGTCTCTTCTGTACTTTAAAAAACGTGCCTACTTTTTATTAATCTTTTCCTACTTACTTTAAAGCTTTTTTCTCAAAAAAAAAAAACATAGATAAACACATAAAATTCACCAGAGTAACTTAGGTATAACGTGAATCGTTTTAGTTCCAATTCATTCGCTGTTAAATTATGTTTGTGCTGGAATAGTAGGAAATCGCATACTGGGACCTTTTATTTATTTTAGAGCAATTTGACAGGCGACATTTATTTGGATTTTTTGCGTTTTCAGCTGATTCCAGCCCTGGAATTAATTTTTCCTAATGAGCACGATATGCTTGCTGATGACGACTGGTTCCAACAAGAGGGCGCCCCTCCACATTTTCGCCTCGATGTAAGAAATTACCTTTATGAAGTTTTCCCAAATCGATGGACAGGCAGAAGAGGGCCGCTTGACCACGTTCCCCTGACTTACCCCACTAGATTTTTTTTTTGTGGGGTTGTCTAAGAAGCAAAGTGTATTTGAACAGACCAGCCACTATCGAATGATTGAAAAATCGTATTAGAAAAGTAGGTCGAAACATAACACCAAATGTTATTCAAAATGTAATTGATAACTTTGAACACCGGATTGGGCATTGTGCAATGGTTAATTAATCCACAGTACAGCCCCCCCCCCTGGAAAGTTGATTACCACATACTTTATAACTCCAGAGGAGCATCCTTTTGACGAGTCTATCACATTTTTCTTCTGCGACTTTTCCCGATTCCTCCGCTTTTCCACTCGGAAAAGTCCAAAAACATGACAATTTCCCGGGGTCTTGAAAAGTCAAGACCACATCTTTTATTTTTAGCTGAAGTAACTGGAAATTTTGTTGCAAATGCGGATTTAAATTTGTCCGACAGAAATTCTTCCGACATTGACGTGTCTACCGGTCAAAAGATGCCAAAATAACAGGGTATTGAAAATCAATTACCACATAGGTAATTTTTAGTAAAATTAATTGTAAATAATTAATTCAGTCAAAAAGTATTGTTGTCCGACAAATTTCAAGCCGCGTTTTTTCAGTCCGACAGCTGGAAATCGGAATTTTCACGGGGTATGATAAAT